CAAACATGATCGAGCATTTAGCTCCAGAGATTTCGTGCGTGCGTTTTGGAAAATCATTGAATATGACAAATTTAGCGAAAATCACTGTCGAGTTATCGTTCAGAGGCCGTTGCCACGAATCGCACCTGTTCTTCAGTATCTCTCACTCTCTGGCCAGCGACCAACTGTGCAGTCGTGAGAGAAACACGAGAATTTATTTCGTGCCAGGGTAATAAGCGCACATTAAACAAAGACCCTTTACCATAAAATCTTTACTGTTTGGCATTATTCAGCACTATTCTACTATGGTACATCTACCTATATATATAAACATATATACATATATACACTGCCCGTCAATCACTTTTGCCATGCTTACCTCAAAATTAGGCAAACTTGAAAGTTTTATATCTCGGTCGGAAATCATCGTATTACAAAAAACCGCAGGGAATTTTAAAGGTTAAAATTAATTTTTAATTTTTAATGCAAAAGCTTTCATTTAAGACGTGCAGAGACTTAAAAATGAAAATATGTGTTTTTTACAGTAAAAAAACTGATTAAAAAAATTTCAATTTTTTTAACCTCGACTTAAATCAATGCCAATTTAGAACCAGGCGGTGGAGGGCAAATCGACCTGAGGGGTTTGGAGGGTAATGTCTTTCCCTTTAAAATGAGCTCCCGCAGGGTTTTATCCGATGTTTTTTAACCGAGTTACGGCGTTTTTTGTAAAAAGCAACGTTTTTTTCCAATCCTCAATTACTTCGACTTGCGTACGTTTAGGAAAAAAATGCCAAAGAGAAAAAAGTTTTATTTTGTGTTCAAGAATATGAAAATAAAGTCAAAATAAAGAAATAGAGAAAAAATTTTTTTTCGGTTTTTTAGCGCATTAAAAAATAAAGGAATTGAAGTTTTTTTTTACGCTTAGTTTTAAAATGTCTAGGGACATAGTAAATCACAAAATGAGTAGTATAAATAAATTATTTTTTATTTTCATTATTTTTTCAAATTATATTTAACAGAAAATATTAATTATTATATAAATAAACAATTGATTATTCAATTATTAGAAATACATAAAAAAAATTGTTATTAGAGAATAAATAACACATGCAATATTATGTCAGAGTTATATAAAAGTAGATGAAATTGTAGTATTAATGCAAAGTGTACGTACATAGTGATAGTGTGTTCACCATTTTTGTTTACAAACAATTCTTCTTCAACGCTTCAAACTTATAATAATTAATATAATTTAATATAATTAATATAATTAGTTCTGATTTGATTGAAAGACATGAAACTGAATATTAGTACGAATGAGAGATAAGCGCGTGATGCGCGCTTGATGACCTTAGTAATTATTTATAATGAATTAATTATATTTTTATTTTTTCCCCATTCGAGTTTTACATTGATATTTGAGTCTAAATTTAAATTTAAATATTGTCGTAGTTGTTATTGAAATATTATTTTAATTATAAGTTGTATTCAAAATAGTAAAATATGTTCCATCAAATAAGTTCTATTTATTATGTGTTCGCGGCATTCTACGCTCCTAACGACGCAAGAGCGGACGTTCATTTTTTATTTTTTTTGTAATTACTGCGAGCCGACCGCATGTGTATGGTCTCGCTTTCTTTCGTGTCTTGACACGTCCGGATAGGTGAGAAAGACCCAAAATCGTGGACGAATGCGACGGTCTGTGGTTCACGTGTTGAGCGCGGTCACACTCGAGCGTCCGATTGCACACAGGCGGTCGAGGGCCACACTGACGCATACTGGAATAACCCCGGTTGCTGTTCGGCCCCACTCTCAAGGCCCAAGATAAGGACGGGCGTTTTCTCTTTCTTTGTTTAAGTTTCCCTGATTGGCTGGCTCTGATGAGACCATATCGTGCCAGTTTTCGGCTCTAGAGGTTGACAGCCTAATTCATCAGAGTTCTTCCTCACTCTGTATCGAGTGCAGATCGTTGCGTTCAGTTAGTTCCTATCGTTGTGTGTGCTTCATTGTTCTATTCAGGTGTTGTATACCGCGCGCCTTAGTGTATAAGTGCTATTATTGCGTTGCATCGAGCAACTGGTACGCGGGTACCTGTGTGTGTCTTTCTCTCCCTTCCGCCGGCGACCGCTTCAAAAGGGGCTACGGCAACCATCGGCCTAGTTGAGAGTACGTGCGGTACCCTCTGAGACGTCTCCGAACTCAGGGCAGCCCGATCAGTGGCACTCGGCCCACCTCGAACACTAGGAGTCGCGTAGTGCGGGCTGTGCCCGTGACCAAGACGTTGGCACTACGCTTCTCCAGGAGACGTCTTCCTTCTCGCACAAGTCGTACATGCGGCATCGCTCGGTCAGCGTTTAATTTAGTGAATGGCCATTCATGTAAGTTTAGCGTTTAGTTGTTTAAAGGCTACGCGAGCCATCTGTAAGTAGCGCAACAAATAGTAGCTTCTCTTGTATTTATAAATTCATTATACGAGTGGCAGTTTAAATGGCTTTTCCCCCACTCACGACTAGGGTTTTTTATGCCGGCTAAGTGTCATCTCTCTGTATCTTTCTTTTATTAAAATAATCTTTATTTACAACCTCACACACCCACCTACTTCAATAACTTACCCTTGCCTTTCCCTTATTTTCAACTAATTAATCGTGCAGATTAAACAATATGAAATATTAGTAGTAATGTAATCATATAACAAAATATGCAACGTACGTATACATAAGACGCTTGTTTAAGGATAAAATATAAATATCACGGTATTTCAATAATTTTATTGATAAAAATTTAGTTTTGATCGGGGTGAATTCATTTTTCTACAACATAAGAAAATGCTTATGAAGGCAAGGAATACTGGAATTATTCCGGGACAAACCAAAAGCAATCCTATTTTTCTAAATATTTTATTATTCGTTAAAAAACTGTAGTGATATAAATGTTTAATATTATCAGCTTTCTATTGTCGATAATTAGCAAATTTCAGCTGAAAAAAACTTTCTTTTTCCTAAAAAATAATCAACCTATTGTCAATTATCTTTACGGAAGTACATTTATGTAAAACCATTTAATAATACACATATGTTTAACGTTCTTCCTCATAATTCTTACTCTTATTACTTTTACTACTTTATTACTTATGTATCGTTTTCATTTTTTTACGTTTAGGGGATTGTCGAGTGGAGTGAATAGAATGGCAAAACCTGACTACTAAGGAAAAAAAATGCGCAACTCTTTTTTTCCGACCCCATCCGCCCTCTCCTCTGCCCTTTAACATTTTTCTATTATTAACTTGGAATAATAAAATGTTTTAATGATAGGACAGCAAATATTATTATAATGTGTATACCTGATTTTGGTTCGCTCTGTAATTATTCTGTTATTCATTAGAAGAATTAATGAGCATTCCCCTATACATCACCTGAAGAAACGAGATCAGCAATCTGACACCGGTGTGTGTTGTGTTATAAAAATATAGTAGATCAGTGTTATGTGTGTGTATGTGTTAAATTTAACTGTTTATTTTATTACGGAAATGTTGAATATAAAAAAAATATTTTCATGAAAACATTAAAATTTTTCAAAATTGAGGATTCGTCGAGCACAGTGATTAAGGAGAAGTAACGTCGGAAATGTCATATCTACAGATGAAAATAATCACTTTTTGTTTAATTTTCAATGTATAATGTAATTAAAAATGCTTAAGTTATACATTGCATTGAGAAATGGTGATTGATGAGAGGAGCGAATTGTGCATCAGTGAAGCAGAGTGACTTGTTTTACTGCATCTTTGATGTCTCCGTTGATATTCCAAAAAAATAATCGGATCGTTATAACCTTCCAACGTTCGATTATAAAAGCGAATTTTATATCACTTACAAATTTCAGTGTGGCTTCAACGTTTGTGCGTGTGCACACAACCATAAAAAAATGAATATTGGAGAAAAGATAAATTTTTTATACGATTCAATAAAGCTTTTTCTCTCGATGATAAACGTCAACGACCGAAACACACGCGCGCGCACCCTTACAATTTTAACTATCTTCCTTTGTTGAACAGCCTACAACAGTCACAATAAAAAAAATGTTAAACGCCCCGCAGCCATTGTTTACCGGAATCTGGCAACAAATCAAACACGACAATGGATTTATTACGAGCCTGTTGTCTAACTTTCTTCAGCTGCCTTTGACCATGGGAACAATGAGGAAATTTTATTAAAAATAACTTTGAGGAAGTTCATTTGTTCAGCGGTAAACAAAGAAAAAACGTAGGAACACTCAATATTAAAGTTCTAACAGTGGCAATAGTGCAAATGACGCGTGCAACAAAACAAAAGTTAAGTCTATTAATGACTCAGCAATCTTTCTTATTTAGGGACTGAGGTGGGGTGTCTGAATTTGTTTTAACATACAACCGCAGGATGAGTAATTCTTTCGGAATTCCTCAGTGACTTGTTATCTCTCATCTTGTTCTCTCAAAGTCTTTAAATAAGTAACCTTTTAACAGTTCACGCTACACGAGCTTTTCTCATCTTAACGACGCGCTACTTCATCGTTTCACCCTATCGAATACTTTGTCAATCATTTGTGCACCGGGATTTCTTCTGCAGTCACTTAGATACGTCACGCCGACTTTGACTCAAACCCATCGTTCAAATACACGAATCCGTAATGATCCTAATAATCGTAAACAAATATTAAAGTCTATAATGGACTCCGTCAAAAATTCCATGTAAAGATCATTAACTAAGAAATGAATTGTCGTCTAAATATGTGACGAAAAAAAAGAAGAGAGGTTCAAGCCGTTATTAACACAGAAAAGTCGAAGTCGGATTAAAGGGCCGAGAGAGGAGAGCGAATCACTCCAATTACCTAAGAACAAAAAGATCCGACAACAAACATCTTCCACTAGGGCAATCCACTTGTGTACGTGTCTCCTTTGCTTTGGTCTATTGGATTTTGCGAAAAAAAGGATGAAAGAAAGAACGCGCGTCCGTCTCCCTCTAAAAAAAGACAAAGTGTCTCATGCTATCCGTGTAAGTAGAAAAAGAGGCGGGGGAGGAAAATAAAAAAAAGCAAGCCAAGAAACGCAGCAGCAGTGGAAGTGGAGAGTAAAGCTCAGCCAGAAATAACTAATAAGACATTCACTCTGAGACGGGCGGCCATCCGGCCCGGACGAACGCGGTACGTTTTCTATATCCCAGCCCGACAACTATGCATTCTCTTTAACTATCTCCTAAGTTTTTTTCTTTCCTTTCCTCTTATCTCCAGTGCTTCGATTGCGAACAAATTCAAGACAAGTGTCAAGTGTCGAATTTTTCAAGTGTTAGTGATGAATTGTGTGCGCATGGTGCATTGCTCTAACCGATCGACAGAGAACCAATGGCTTTGTTTGCATAAGTATCTTTTGAAACGAATGACTATTCCATTTTTCGTTTCTGACTTTGGACTTCTTTTTATTCATTCGTATCAGAGGTATTATTGAACGTTCTGCTTCCAAATCGAAATCGCTAGATGCAATTAACGCGTCATATGCTAAATTTACAAGCCGATCAGCGCCCGCGTTCGAGGTATGCTATAATTAACTATTCGTGCGGATTTCATGCGCGAGCCGATGATGATGGCGTTCGCGTTTGGATCATATGAAGAGAGATTAATATTGCCTGTATGTTATCTTGAGAATCATTGAATTTAATTGACACATATATGTGTTTCCAACATTGAAACGTTGAGGAGCGGAAGAGGGGGCAGGGGATTGATCAAGTAGTTAATACTCCGATATCCGTCCTAACGACGGTGAAATATCCATCGAATGATAGATTCTCATTTGCATAATGGAAAGTAATGTTGAATGTATGTTCGTACGAAATTATTTATCAAGTGAAAAGATCCAATCTAAGGCATCGACACAGAAAATTCGCTCGAAATACTTCAATATAAAATCTAAAATGATCGGAATGGCAGCGACGCTTATCGCCTAATAAAAAAAGCAAAGAAATCACGCGTGTACGCGTTGCAGTAAAGCAGCCAGTTTATGTCGATCGTGTGTCTCGTCCCTTTCTAAATTTAAGTGTTAGATAATCCGAGTCGGCGCGCAAGCACGCTCAGCTAAAACGGTACCGCAGGCGCTGCGCCTCGTAGCCACGTCGAATTGCGATCGCGAGTATCTACGTGTATATAGCGTTTGAGGAAAGCTCCTCCCGGTTCAATCCTTCCAAAGCTCGACTCTTTCGTTCGTGCGTGATTATCGGCTTGATTCGAAAAACCGTCGATAATGATTAATTGTGTAAGAAATTTACGCCAAACTAATCACGACGAACATATTACGAGGTTTGATTAATTAGGTCGCGTGGTGTGTTAGTAACGAACGTTTAAATTTATAATTTTTTATGTTAGCTAATTGACTAATTAGTTAATTAACTAATTGACGTATGTGTTTCGTGAACTAATCAGCAATCGTTTTATTGTTTGCTAAATTTTAAATCTAAACTATATAAATTGTATCTAGATACTATTTCTCTCGATTTACGGAAATGCAGCAGGTGCATTACAAGTCCAAATTTCCCGGGAAATGACATAAGATTATTAAAATAATGTTTCTCCCCTAGAACCTATCTATCTACATTTATACCTATTAATAGCCAAGGAAAAGCACTTTAACCAGCCAAGAATCGATGCAGCAGTAAGAGAAATTTGGTTATTTATCAGGCTTATAATCATGCACAAATACAATGCTCTATCTCGGGTATATTTTAGCTTCTGAAGATTTCTACCAATATTTTGAAATTTCCAAATGCTCCGCAGTCAGCTACCTTTCAAAATAAATGCGTGTTATAAATCATCACGCCCACGTGGTCATAACAACCGATAATCACAGTGTGGCATCCTAACTGAGATGTGTATTATTTTGTATAAAAACGATGAGTCGGCTGTCATGTAAAGATGTGCCTTTGAGAGGCCACTCATTTGCTAAGAGGAGGACATAGAGAGAGAAATGGAGAGCGAGAGAGAGAGAGAGAGAGAGGCTTCGGGCCAACGAGCTTTTACTGCTAGTGCTACTGTTGCTGGTCTAATATGGCTACCGGGTGTCCAATTACCTGTGCCCCTTCCATTGCTCTACTCTGCACTCTCTCTCTCTCTCTCTCTCTCTCTCTCTCTCTCTCTCTCTCTCTCTCTGTCGCTTCGCCGCCGTCACACAGCTTTAACTTTGCCGCCTGTTTTGAGAGATTATGCTTCAGTAAGAGAAGAGATTGTAAGCCTGTACTTGAAGGTGAAATGCTGGGAGAGAGAGAGAGAGAGAGAGAGAGAGAGAGAGAGAGAGAGAGAGAGAGAGAGAGAGAGGGAGGTTGGAGGGCTATTTTGGCTGATTGATTATTTGGGATGGTAAGAGAGAAAGACACTTTTGCAGGGCATGCCTGATTTTGTTGAGGAAAGATTCACCTTAAGGTTAATGTTATCTTAGTATATGGTAAGAATTCACTGCAAGCTTGCAGCGAGTTCTATTTCATTTAATTGAAAATTCTACCGTATTTTGTTGATTATATCTCGTATTATTTGACTTAAAAAATTGGCACCTAATGCTTAAAAATAGAATTAATAACTTGTAGAAGCTTCCGTCAGAGGAAATAACCAGTGCTCTAAAAAACGATATTCTAATCCAAGAAATAATTTTATCTAGTATGAAATTTGTTGAATAACTGTAATTACAATGATTCTCAAAACATTAAAAATATATTTTGAAAGATATTAGCATTTTATTAATCAGAGATAATGATTAATCTCAACATGATTCGCGAAAAGGAATCTGAATCAGTAAAGTTCCGCAAGCATAAATATCACACGTTAATTGCATATAAGTGATTGTACTATCCAAGGATCAACGTTATATTGAGACCTGAACTCAATCGGAAGTCAGTCTTGATGTTGGTAATTGCTATTACGAGATACTGCTGCTCGTGGGTTGCAAAAGCAGTTCACGTCGAGAGACGAGTTGATGCGTGATTGCTTCTCGTGATCTTGAGTCGTGTAATTAGATTAGTATACCTTGCGTCTAATTAATTTTAGCCTCTGTCTTGTCTATCCCAATAATCAATTGATCGCACAAACACCACACTCGATCAAGTTTACCGATATTGAAATTCCTAATATTGTGGCTGCCGTTAAAAATGTGGAAAAACAAGTAATTGTCTCCGGGACTAAAATAAATATTCCACGAGCTTGCCAATATTCGGTGGAATAATCGCTCTTGACACTTTTGCCGTGAAGCTGCCAATTTTTTCGCTACACCCTTGACTGAAACCAAGGTGCGCTCAAATTAAAAGAGGACAAAGTCGCCTCGTCCGAGTAAGAAAAAGTATGACGAATCGATATATATTTGTTTATGCGTCGCGTTGTTGCTTCTATTTCGCCACTGACGAATGAATGTTTCGTGCGCGACCTACTATTTTCTTACTTTGTAAACGAAGATTAATTAACGTTTTAAACTTGTAAATTCACGAATGCAATAAGAGCTGTTATTGAAATACTTGGCTAAGCGAGTGCGCGTTCCCTCTTGAACTTTGTCCTTTGTACTTGAGAGCGAATGAGTATAACCCTCTCTTTCTCATTGTCTCATCATTCTTCTGCGAAAAGTATATCGCTGTTGCATTTAGTCACCTACGTCGAAACAAAGATTTTTGTTGCTCTCCAAATTTAGATTTCAGTCGGCATAGACCACGAAACATACATAAAATAACCATTTATCTCTTATTCACTTTACAGCTGTCTACAGCGCAAGATTTTGGTTATCAGAAGTCAACCGATAGCCGGGGCCCTCTAGATAGGGCCCCCGACCGACACTTACCGCCGTTAGGCGGATTTAGCGGAGGGTAAGTATCTGACTTTTTCTTTTAATTATATGAATTTTTGATAGCAGAACATCCAAATTATTAATAAAAATACCGTAAACAGACTGTAAAATCATCTCTCTCTGTTCAAATATGTCAATACGTGGAGAGTCGCCTGATAATTTGAAGTCAACAATTGTGCTAACATGATAATTTTACTTGAAAAACTGCATTCAGTAACTTTACCAATCATCGTTCCCTATCAAATCTGTCAGTAGAATAACCGTGGAAAACAAATTTAGGTACTAAGATACAGTCATTCCAAAATTTAATTCAACAGTTGGCTCCATTATCACAGCTTTATACGCAGAAATGAATTAAAAATCAGTAAAAGTTATCATGCTACTGAAACGTGGAGAGCAAGTTAAGTTGATCAATTATTCAAAACCACTCCTTTACTCAAATTATCAGCCTGCGCTTGCGCTTGATTTCCCATTCTAATTGCAAGATACAATCGAATTAACGATTCAACTGAATTAGCCAGCCGCAATTCATGACACTTGGAAACAAGTAAATTACAGATTCAGCGTTTCGAAAAACTAGTAAAAGGTTGATTGATCGAGCGTTGTGCGGCAAATACTGAAATTCAAAATTCACTGTTGGAAATTTTCTCGCGCGAGGGGGTAGGAATGTCAAAATTTATTAGGTCGTTCGTCACAAATGCGCGCAGAGCGGACGTGCTGAATATGTAAAATATCATAAAACCGAATAACGTAGGTTTGAATAACGATTTCTCTCTCCACATATGAGCACCGCTAGGATTCGCGGGTAATCGGTGAGTACTTGGTTCTCGCGCGTGCGCGAGAGGCTTCCAGAAACCCTTAGCACCGTCGCTAGTGGCCTCGTCAAAACCTTTTAACTATTCTTATAACTACCCCTATTGATGTTGTACCTTGATACATATAGAATAAACTCGCTAGCGCACTCTACCGTCTGACAATTTTATAACTCTTCTTCTCAACAGTTCCAACTTTTTATGTGGCTTTATTTATTTTTCGCTAACGAGCCTTCTGTTATTAGTTGTTTTTTAGATAGCTATCAGTCAATCACTTAGAGCTTTTAATTGGTTCAAATCTGAACCGCTGTTTTTGATCGGTAACTAAGCTATTTCCGATAAAAATTCATTTGTTAGCTGTTCGAATATTGACTTGGAAAAAAATTTAAGTGAAAGAGCAACATCTCCTTATAATATTAGAGACAAAAAAGTAGAATTCAGAAAGTTCCTCCAAGTATAAAAAATTAAGAGGCGTCGCACTGTTTTACCTTTTTCACTACGAAATCACGCGCGACAAAAGCATTTTTCAAATTCAATAAATTGTATCCATTAAAAGTGCGAAGACAGATACCAAGACCAGATGTCAAGTCCGGCAAAACTAGAAACAAACTTTTCATAAATCGTTTAGCGTACGAGTGAAACAGAGTAAGCTGGATGCCGCCGGCAGTTGCTCTTATTAAAAAGTTTAATAATCTGTGCAGTTGTTTGGAAGTTTTTCTTCTCTCTCACTCACTCTCTACAAGATAATGCACGGCGATGGGACTTGCGAAGTTGTCAACTTCTCGTGACCATTTCCCTAACGAGACTTTGAGCTTCCTCTTCTTCCATCTTTCGGAAAAAGAGAAAGAGGTGAAAATAGGCGCGAGTGTACAGAAGAGTCGAGGTCAGCACGGCAATTTGTTTTAACGTTACAACGAGATTTCAGTTGTAACTGCCAACATCTGACGAAGTACTTACGACGAGTACTGCTATCGCCGAGCGAAAATGGAGCTTTATCCTATTTTTTTCTTCACCTCCCAAGTAGAAGCTTGCTGCGCAGATATGAAATTGAGAAATTATGACAAGTACTATTGTGACGAGAAGCGTCGGGTCCGTCTAATGTCACGACCTTATCTACTTGTGAAAAGCACACGAGAAAGACGGTTTAAAGAATGGAAGAAGAAAAAGTCAAGTTTTCCCTTGCCAGATAATAGCTGGACACATTCTTCTGCGGTTACTCTTTTATCGCGTCGACGAAAAGAGAAGAGAAGGTACCACTACTGCGAAGAGCTTCCCTTTGGCCAAGTAATTTTCGAAAATTACAGCAACTTCAATGTAAAAAGGAACAATTGTCAAAGTCAGAAAGAAGCGCCATTGCAACGAAACCGCGTAATCATGACGATGACAATGAAACTTCGTCAATTTCCAAGCAACAATTGCAAAAGTTGAAAAACCCCAAGCTAATCCTCCCACTTAGGACAACAAATTGCAAAGAGCGAAACTTGAGAATGAAGGGCGCGCTCGAATATGTGCTAACAACAACTATGCCGACAAAGAAAGTCAATATCCGCGGGAGATAGTGCAGAGCTTGCGCAAGTTTTATCAGCCGGACGCAGCCTTACCGACGTCCACTTCCGCGTAACGTCGCGTAACGTCGCGTAACGTCGGTAAGCGAACGACCGAGCGCAAGGTCTCGCTGTTTGTGCGCGTGCATGTATTTTGGATGGGCGAGGAGGCGCGCTTGAAAATAAAATTAGGGATCCCGCTGGAAAGCGGAGAAATGGCCGCCACTGCGGGCTTACTAAAAATAAAGACACAGACAAGCGAGCGAGCTCAGGCACAACCGAGAAGTATCAGTATCCGATTATCCGCCCGCCAATTCGGCTTTGCATCGGCAATCAGCTGGTGCGCGATCGCACATTGTTATATTAAGGAAAAAAACATAAATAACTAGTTTGAAATTACAACTGCTAATACCGACGTTGAACCAGTTGCATTTTTTTAATTGGAAAATCGTGTGTTTCTCGTTTTGAGCAAACAGCATTTTGTTTTCTGTATATATCGTTCATAGCTGTAAGTTAATACAGGTAAATAATGATAATTTATTTTGTTTTGGAGAGCTTTCAAATTCTAGTGGGAAATAGAATGCTTATCGAAGCTTGTAGCCAAATGAAACTCCGCAAGCTCTTGGACGCTCTCTAGCGCGCGCGCGCGTTTCTATTTTCAAATCTTTGCATGCAGACACTTGACGGATTAGTTTCACTGGCCTCATTGTTCGATAACGTTTTCTTAGTCAAAATATAAAAGAACTTATGGAAAAAAAGAAAAGCGGAAACCAATAAAGGCATGTTTACGTGCGCCGATAGTTTTATGCTATTGAGAAATGTGTCGCGTGAATCACTCGCATAGACGCATCTATTTTCTCCCATTGACGCAAACATTTTTTTGTCCTTTCTATTATTCGCTTGATGCACACTCCTCTGTGATATTAATTCAATAGTGAATAACAGAATGCACGGCGTGTTGCAATGGCTCTGAATGTTGGATTCTGAAAGCTCTTCAATTATCTCCGAAAGCTCATTTAAAGGCACTTTATTACTTTATAAATTGGTCAAGGAAATCATTGATGCTAAAGTTATTTGAAATTTTATTGTAAAGAATCTCTTTTATGATCAATAAAAATGCTACAGTAAGGTTACTTTTGACTTTTCGTCGGTTAGGGTTTATTGCGAAAAAAAAATGCGGTAGAATATATATTTTTATGATGGAGGTTGAATAAACTTGCTAAAACCTCACACAAAACAGTTTAATATCTGGAAAAAAAATTTCCATATGTATGAAAGGTTTCGTTCTAATTTTAGAAGCTCTTGTATAAGCTTTGATTTTGTGAATACTTAAACTTGAGAAAACCAAGTAAAAATAAGGAAAAACCCATATCATAGCCTACACCACTAGACTAGTGATGGAGTTTAGATTCGGGGATCGAAAAGCATTTTTCAATTGAAATTTCATGTAAACAACAAAAGACTATGCATGAAAGTGATCACAAAGCTCGACAGAGCTTTCACGCTTTCATCCGGCATCTTTGTTATAGCCAGCAGGAAGGTTAGTCTTTGTGCAAGTCGTTTACATGTTCCTTCGCTCCAACTCGCATGCACATGACAAGGCGCCTGTTCAATTTCCACGCAGTGCAAATTTTCTCTCGCACAGTTGTTTCGTTGTTTGATGCCAAATGGCTTTATAGCCTAAAGGAGTTTAAGGTTTTACTTCGAATACTGACGAACGACACTCTTAATTAGATTACTTGATTAAATTGAAGTAACTTACAAAAGAGAAGCAGAAAACTGAGAAGAAATAAGTGCTAATAACGTATTAGCCGAAAACAAAATCGTTCAAATTAACGTAAAAACCATTCGGATTTTTTTATCTAACGAGTGGTCGTCGAGACTTCGGTGCGGTCAAATGAGCGGGCGCGTGAGTGTGAGCGTCGTTTATTAATAACGCAAAATTTTCGAGGCAAACAAAACTTACTGAGTTGGAGAGATAAAATAAGATTTTCTGAAAACAACGTCGCGGAAGAGGATCTGGCCCCGCGCGTGCCAAGAATCTTGGAAAATTGATTCGACAAGTCGTCTTCATTCAATAAAATAATAAAACTTCACTGACATGTAATTTCTCAAAGTAACACGTTCGTTTAACGTCAATTTAAACAATGTTTCATTTTATTTTATAGAAACAATAGTCAAAATCATCCAAATATTTTACGCGTCTTCCAACAATATAGAAAATTTAAAAATATTTAGAGCTGTACGTTTACTTCTTCCAAAATTGACAGTGAAGAAATTTTCTCTATTCTCAAGTCCGTCCTATTGACCTCCAGCTAAGACACAAAAGAACGAAGCAGCATTTTAGCTGTCGACGTTTCGGGCTTACGAAATTGCGCGTTTTAAGTTTAAACGAGGATTTCCACGCATCTGTTGGCCGGATATTCTGCACTTGTACAAGGCCAGATCTTCAGATATTCCTACATTCGCGGTCAAAAGGCCATCTTTTTTATCGTTGAACATCTGTAGTTCAATATTTAACGGGTTACAGTTCCGTTCATACCAGACGGGATCGATTGATTATTTAAGATGCATAATTCAGTATATCGATGAGCTTTTTTGCATGCAACAACGTCGTGATAATATTAAATGCATATCAACAGAACAAATTGTAAACATCTCTATCAAAAAATCACAACATTATTTATTAATACACAATAAAAACTGAAATCCCAATGACGAGTGTCGCAATTGGAACTGACGGCGAGCTCGCAAAGGAAAGCTTGAAGCAAGAATGAAAGATCAATGAGGTTGTTGGGTTTACTAAGTCTATGTGCAAAATCGTTGCGCCTTGTACGTATGCAGCTTCAACTCATTCACTGTTCATCGGAAACAATAAAAACAATGCCTCATGCATATTATCATTAGTTATTCATCTATATTATACATAACGTCTAAACAAATCCTTATCTACTGCTTAGGCAGCTTGTTCGAGCATTTACCTCGTGGACAGAGATAAATTGAAAAACCTACATAATGCTAAAAACAGAAACATAAGATTATGAAAATTTAACATTTAGCTTATTCATTATTCGCTTTGATTGTAGGGAGTATGGAGCAGTTCGAGCAGCTGCTAACATGCGCAATCTGCTTGGACCGCTACAGGAATCCCAAGCTACTGCCATGCCAGCACAGCTTCTGCATGGAACCCTGTATGGACGGGCTCGTCGATTATGTACGTCGACAAGTCAAGTGTCCGGAATGCAGGGCCGAGCATCGTATTCCTTACCAGGTAACATTTCTTATTTTTCTTTGCATTCTGCCAAATTATTTTTTGAAGATCAATTCGCAAGATTTCCTGATTACTAGCTCGCTTCAGATTATTATTGCTGACGTAAATGCGAAAGTATAATTAGATACTCGTTGAATGACCGTCTCAAAATCAACACTGCAAATGAAAACCATCGCTCATACCAATTTTCCCAGTGAGAAACAAACGTCTTTCGCTGGTTTTTTTTTTCTAAACTAAAACACAAATTTCATTATTTTATTTTTGATTTCTATTTCCTATAATTAGATCAACAATTACCAACATTCGTTTCGATTTTTTAATATTTACTGTGCTATCATTTAAAAATTATACAATAATGATAAGCCTCATACATTCAAATTGTTTCAATGATCTTTCTCAAATGAAAGAACAGCCTCTACAGTAATACTTGATCGAACTATGAATCAGCGTGGTCATGCAATATAAGCTTGTTTGGAATAAGACGACAGTTCTGTTTTGCGTCAGCGGAAAGCTAAATTTATATGTTTCAATGCAAATAACGAAAATTATTTTCGTCTTGCGATTGAAATCAAAGCAAACTACAGGGGGATCAAATTTTAAGCGCACAATATGGAAACATATCTCGATGATACATTAACGATTTTCTTATCTATGATGCATACAGGGCGTGCAGGCTTACCCGACCAACGTCACACTCCAACGGTTCCTCGACTTACACATCGAGATTACCGGCGAATTGCCAGATCCTACGAGCGGACAAATAATGGAACGTTGCAGCGTCTGTTCGGAAAAGAGTTATTGCAATCTGTGCGCCCATTGTGAGAAAAAGTGCTGCCCCGAATGCAAGGAGGAACACTTGAAGATTCTCAGAAAGAATATTTGTAGCGTTAATTCACAGGTGAGAAAAAAATAGAATAAGCTCATTTTCCTTCGCGCTATCGAAAATCGAAAGTAGGATAAACGAATATATATAGCGATACGTTTATCGCTACACTAGCAGGCAAACAAATATAATTATTTGCTATTAAGATTGCTGCTATCAGCCGGAAGTTCGTACCTTCTTAAAAGCCACATTATCCGAGAATTCGCCGACAATATTACCAGGCGGTTCGTAGTTGCAAACAACGTAAACTTTGCCGCTTTCACTGACGGCCACACCAATTCCGAGTCTCTTCGAACTACGCCAAACCAGTTGGGTAAAGTGTCCAACCTTGCAAATGTCCGAGGCTGATGGCTCTGATCCGAACTCATATGCCGATATTTCATCGTACCTAGACTCACAAAGTACAGTTGATAATTATTTCCTGCCGAAATAGAAGATTATCCGGCAAATGTGGCTTCCTACCAAGCTTGGACAGGCATTCGAGGTTCGAGCTCGCACTTGGAATCTTCGCTAGAGCAGACGAAGATATTCTCCCCATAATCATTTTCTTGGCGATGTTTAAGAGAATCCTTGGCAGCGATAACGGACGCCCATTCTTGCGCGAAATCGTTTAACTTTACGGAGATGTAAAAAGTAACGGGCATGCATTTAATTTCAACGTAATGCGAAGAGTGAGAGGATGAAATGAGGTACTCTTGAAAAATCACGAGGCTTTTCACTTTTTTAAAGAGAAAGAGAGAGAGAGAGAGAGAGAGAGAGAGAGAGAGAGAGAGAGCGCGAAACGAGGAGGGGTAATAGGGCAGTTCAAAGAAAATAGAAAATAGACTTACCTTTACGTCGATAACTAAATCCGGAGAGTTGTGAAGAGCGCGTAAAGTGTTATGATACTTTAGACACTCCTCGGCGAATTCTGAGCTATTTTCGAGAGTTACGTTTTAAAGTATCAATTTAAAATTTTAGGGCAAAAGTAAATTGCATTTTGGATAAGTTACTTACTCTGCCATCTTTACATAGAAACGAGAAATTTTGTATTATTATATGCTTTTGTATAGGTTACTTGAAAATTTGCGACTGGTAGTAAATATTCAAAATAATTGACTATCAATGGCAATATACAGCACTCGAAAAAGTGCTTACAATGTTTATACTAGCTGAGCAATTTGTAGACAATTTGTAGATCTCTAAAAGTCCTCGATAAAGTTTCAAATAAAATTAAATAGACATAACACTCAATGGCTCTTGCTGTTTATTGTTTAAAACTTTCATTCAACCGACATCCATAAATATGATTTATGAAAAGTCTTATTCGCACGATAAGTAAGCCTAGACTATAAAGTTAATTTTTTTCAGGTACGAAGGGCACTGCATAGATTGCAAGAGACGCTGTCGCAAGTAGAAAAGAACACCTTAGCGCTGCAGACGAATGCGGCAGCAGTGAGCGAAGAGGTTGACGAAATTTACAGGCGGTTGAACAAAGCTTTGAAAGACCGTACAGAATTTTTACGTAACGAAGTCGACCGTTACCTCAGCACTGAACTAAAAGGCCTTATACATCTGAAGGAAAATCTCGAGCAAGAAATCGCTAACATTCAAAGTAACTGTGATCTCGCTGATGCGCATATTAATGAGAATGTGCCCTGGGATGACAATGAGCTTCTTGACACCAAAGAATTGTTTCTTCGTACCCTCGAATTCATCAGGTAAACTATATTTTATCTACTTTCATGCCGTGAGCTTATCATTTACTTATATCGTGGATTTAAAAGTTAAATTATACGAATACTCGAATTTCATTAGAATATGGCGAAGATTTTACGACGCTTTTTTCACGCGAATGTTCACGTGGCGCATGAAACTTTGTAATCAGAGGTCATTGGTCTCGATTAAAATTAGCTCGCGGATCAATAAATATGTAACTTTATACATTCGGCAGGATGACGCTATAGTCTTTAAAATTTTGATTTAAACAAAGAAACATTTGCAAAAAGGCACGTAAATTGATTTTTGGATTTTTTCAAATTCCTAACTGACGCAGCAGACTAAATCCCTTCCCTATTGTAAATTCTTGATGGGTTTGCGGCACCATCGAACTTGGTTTTTTACTCTCTACCCCCCTCAGAGAGCATTATCCCAGAATAGCATCCAACCAAAAGCTAATTGAGCAGCAAATCAATGCGACTGTCCGTTTTGCAGAAACTTCGAGTACGAAGCCGGCGACTACAGTCGTCGAATGCGTTTCGTGATGACTCACGAGCCAAACCAATTGGTGTTACACGTGGCCGGCTACGGGGAATTGAACATCAAGCCCGATCCAGCTGGCGCCAATCCGTTGCTCACAAGCTCGAGTAGCTTGGCAGTGCCGGGCGGCTCGCCGGCGGGGCTCATGCGCAGCAAGAGCGACCATCGACTTGCCTCGCAGTACCGACAGCAGGACGACGACCGCACCCATGCTAGAAACCGATACGTGCCCGACTACGAGTGAGTACTGACGCTTGCGCTCACTTCCTCGAGCGAGTGAGCTTTTCTCTTGCGTATTTCTCCTTGTTCACTGGTGTTTTGGTTTCTTCGAGTCGAGCGACAGACGCCTCAAGTTTCTCTCTGCTCTCAAGATCAGACGGACTTCAGTGACGCTTGTTGTTGAGCAAATGTTGGATATCGAGATAAGGGGTTGTTGCGTACCTAACCTCGCACTGCGCGCGCCACCACGACGAGGCTCCGAGCGTATACTGTACACGCGCGATCAATAATAACCTTGAAAATAACCTCCGCGATGCTCTGGGGGTTACGAGGGCTGTTGGCTAGATAAGCATACAAGGAGCTACGACAGAAACTTTCATTGCAGAATATTGTGCTTGCAACCGCTCCCCACGTCGCTTAATTGCCGACGATGCGAGTTGTGGAAAAGGTTAGGCTTTTAGCTATATACGAGGCTACTACGAGCTCCACCATTACGGGGTGGAAATCAATTTTTTCATGGCGATGCTTATAGACTGATCGCAGCTTTTACATTGACTATCTTACGATTCTACTCGAAGAAACCAAATACTCGTGCGTGCCTGTGTGTGTCTTTTTATGTTGCTGAGTGCTTGAGCAAAAAGTTTACTTTCTCGTATGCTCTGTAATCGTTTCCTATAATGTTTAATTATAGCTCGAGACGGGAAACTGAACGAAACGTAATTCAGAGTCGTAAAGTCACGATTCATAAAATGGATTTTTCTTGTAACCTCGTTTTTCCATGTTTCTTATGTAGTGCGAGCTGTTCGTACCCATTAATCTGTGTTGCCTTTTGCCATACAGCACATCTCCTTTAGAGCGCGTCGAGGCTGACCTACTTTCCTAATTCTATGGGTGTATAGAGAGAGGGGCGTTCTGTTGACATGCTTCTACCAGTTTTTCCTCATAATGCTTATTTCGGAATTGTCCTAGTTTTATTATTTTGTTGTGCACTTGTCCGAGCTAGGTAAACACTTTCTTCGAGTATTCAATATTTATTCTAACATTTTTATCGATATTATCTTGATGCACTATCGCGATTAATTATCAATATAACGCTCATTGACCTTCAATTAAAAGGCAAAAATAATTCACGAAATACCTCGCATAAAGTAGATTCACGTATCCGAAGCGTAGGCCCGTCGGTTTCGGTCGCAAGGGGTTTCAATCGCGTCTGTGTGTACCCGGATTATTTTGGCACGCTGCCATCGCCCAACCGCGGGCAGCCCGAGAACAGCAGCAGGCGTCCGTTTTTCAGAATGACCCACATAACGGCCTCGAGTTATAAATACAACGTTTATTTCTTTTCTCTTCTTCGCACTCTCTACGAAATTTTTCATTTAGGCAAAAAAACTTTTAGTTAGGTAATCCGAACGAGTTGCATTCGAGAGATAAAGTTCATTAAATAGCCGCAGCTTCATCCAATATTTGGCTACTGATATCTTGGTCTCCCCCTCTAAATTTGCATTTAGATTATATAGTTGTAGCGCGTTATCTGTCCCGTGTGTGTGTGTGTACGCGGCAGGCTTCTCTTCATTCACTTACATTGTTGAAGAAAGCTTATCTATGCGTAGCGCGAGGGTGGGAGAAAAAAAAGTGCCAGTAGGATTGTCCGACGCGCCGCGGTAAATTCGATTACTCAATGCCACGCGAGTGATAATCCCAAGGCACAAGGCTGTGTCGCCCAGTTACTTACTCACTTGAACTCCGAGCATCGCTCGGTGGTCTTTTGGTATTACTCGTTCAAAGTCTAGCTGTCAGATAGTTGAAATGCTATTCCATTTCTTCTCCCTCGTTTTATCACTTATTTCATGTATCTATTAACGATTTTATTTGCGCGCGAGGAAGATAAACTCATTCAATGATTCCCCATAATATTCCACATAATGAAAATGACTTTTTCAATTGAAATTAATGTTAGCTATCCAAAATGAAATTTAAAAATGCTGAGACATGTTTTCATGCCGTCACAAGGGTGTACGTCGAAAATTTAGTTAATTAAAATATTGCAACCGAATGGAGAGATGAGTTGAGATTGATTGTGTTTAGGTACGACACCCCGGACTACGAGGCGCCTCGGTCGCGGTCGCGCTACCGGTCGCGCTTTATGCGCAATCGGGACGGCGAGGACTCGGACGGCGACCAGCGCTCGTCGGGAGTACGTTTCACGGCTCAAGATCCAACGGGGGCCTACCATCTGAGGGCAGAACGCGAACGAGTACTCGATACAGACGACGCATCGAGAGGGCCATTGTCGGGCATTTACCGGCTCACCGACTCGCCGCGCGTCATCAAGAAACTAACCGAGTGCGAGCGACAAGGCAAACGCAAGAAGGACGATCCTCAGCAACCACAGCAGCAGCAGCAGCAGCAGCAACAGCAGCCAAAACCTCAGGTTGGTCCGATCATTGCTCATCGACAGTTAATGGATTATGTTGCACGTAGTTTTGCGTTTCGCAGAGCTGCATCAAGATTAGTCTTATTACGCTCATGCGGAGGCAGCACCTCGGTCTTTTTCTTACGTGCTGGATCTTTGCATCGTACGCCATTCATTCTACTTGTTCTTGCTTTTCTTCCTACTCTGCTTAACTATTCTCACGTCTTACCAAAAGACAAATGCTTATTCTCATTCGTCATTCGCCGAACGGACCATACATTTTATCTGTCATCATTGTATTATCGTAGTACAGTAAGTGAAAAACTCATATTGTTTAAACGACATGAATAAAACAAATATTTCAGTAAAAGAAAAATTATCTTCTTTTTTACGTTTGATGAAATTGACGACTCGTTTGTGTTTTTGACAGTGAAAGACTCAAGTTACAGCCCACCGAGCGTTGTAGGATAAACCGTGCGTGTGGCCCAATTCGACGATTACTCTCTGTCTCTCGCACAACTCTCTCACTTACACAGCAAGAGCAATAAACAAAAAGATTATATCAGAAATAAGTTCTCGAATTATAAGATTTTATATACGGTTTGGTGGTTTGGTACTAAATACTCTTTTCTTCTACCTCTCTATACTTATTCTCATATCATTCTCTCTATCTCGTTTTATCTTGTCTTATTCACACCTTCTATGGATTTGTAATTTAGCAACACTGCTCAACATTTTTTTCTTTCCCTCTGTTCAAGCACAAAGAGTTTCAGTTTTTTGTACTATCTAATAATAAAATCGAGCAACTTGCTGTATTCAATTATCGCGCATTATAGTTTTTCTTAGCCTACTCATGCCAAGAACGCATAATCAGCGAATTTACAATAATTTTTTGTTATTCCGCTTAGTCGCATGAGCGCGCTAAGTACTGCCTCACTTACGAGGATGACACTAATCTTTGAACATTTTTATTTTTATTTGTTCTGCCTTTTTATTAGCAAAGCTGCGTAATCGTGCATTTATGAGGATCAAAAGCCACTTAGATTTAAGATATTTTTTAAAGAAAACATTTTTTTTTTCTATTAGATATTTTGCACACATGTATCTTTCATAGTTTTTACACGAATAATGTCACGTATATAATGCAGACTATACTAATGACTCTTTCGATCACATTAACGATTTTAAATAAGATTTTAGAAAAGCAACTGTCAATTCATAATTATACTGTTCATTGATAATCAAAATTATTTGCCGATGATAGATAAAAAGCTACGCTTCTAGCGCTAAAAATAATTCATGAGTATCAGAGTATAATCATCGACTCATCAATCATTAAAAACAAAACAAAAAAAAAACGAATAGGACGTGGAGTGCAACATGCGCTTTTTGTAATATTTAATGTTTTGAAAAGGCTCATTTCTCGGGTGTTTCGTTGATTTTATTTTGATCTATAACTCGTAACTGATCTTATTGTTATACAAGACCGCAAAAGTGTTTAACCGACGACTAAAACCGGAACAGGTGCAGCCACAGAGGAAGCAACAGCAGCCGGCGGTCGGTCGTCAGGTCAGCGAGGACGACGAGATCTCGCGAATCAAGAAGCAAAACAAAAGCGCCCAGCCAACGCAGCAGCAGCCGCAAGTACAACAGCAACAGCAGCTAGTCCCGTCACCCGTAGCAGCCATCTCACCCGTCCAAGAGACCGTCGAGGAAAGACCACCTCAGTCCCTAACAGCAAATCAAAGGGATAATATCCGTGATCACGAGCAACACGAGGATTCTGCCCGGAATCAGTCCATTGCTAGGTGATCAATCTTTGTTGCATCACGTTTTATCACACATGACCGCTAATGACTATCGTGATCCCACAGTCGAAGAACATCGTCAGACGTCCACGGGCCAAGCGGCCGAAGTACATCCTCGGAGTCAAGCACGGGCTCGGAGAGCTCGACCGGCTCGGGGATCCGCAGCACTGGAGCTCCTTTTACCACCGAGGAAATGAAACAGAAGTACCTGTCAAGAGCACCTCAGACAAACACAACCCACACATCCACTGTTGCCTCGAGTGCGTTGCCCTCGTCAAATCGTGATTCGGCCATTACTACCGGCTCGCCAAGACCCTTTCAGAGCCGTTTTTTAGGCGGGGGTATGTAAGCTCAAGTGGTTTTCGTAAGCGAATGCATGACGTTGCAACAAAGAGCACATTTTTTGTTTCGATTGGTTTTGCGTTAGAAAACGTTGCACAACTTTTGCAACGAATCGAACGTGAGCAAGCGCTCGCGCAGCGTCACAAAAATCACACGTTCTTCGTATTTTTCATCTTGCTACGAGCGCGACACGAAAGTCTAATCGAGACTCGCGTAATCGCAATTGCCAGCATAAATGCACAGGCGTTAGTTGTTGATTGTCTATTGGATCTCAGGTAGCCGCGCGGCGCCGCCACCACCCCAACCGAGCCGCGAGCCAGAGCCGAAAGCGAGCAGTATCGCGGTGGCAAAGAAAGACGAGGAAGTAGACGAGGACGAGACAACAAGCTCGTCCGAGGAAACCGATTCCGAAACGGAAGAGGAATCCGAGCCCGAGCCAGCGTCTCACCCTACAACCACTCCGATGGCTAACCAACAACGTAACGAGTCGGCGATGGCGAGGACCGACATTGGACCACTTCTTGCCCGAAGTGCCGAGGCCAGACGGGGCAGCAAGGAGGATTCGCCCAGCACGAGGCAAGAACGAGATTCCATAAGCGACGACGCGCGCGCTATTCGCGACAACGAGATCAATCGAGAAATCGAGAATAAAAACTCAAAAGCCAGGCGCATCAAGAAGGCAGCCGGCAGAGTTGCCATAAGCGTTTGCGAAGGTTTGTTCGGATAATTAGGCAGCCTTCTTCGTGCGCCTCGCTGGGACGCCAGTGCAATAGGGTAATAGAGTGTGGACTAAAGTTGAAAAGATGCTTGATATTTTTTGAAACAATAGTGAAAAACAAAGAATTTATGGTACTTAAGGAACTGCCAACGTACGTATTCATAAAGTGAAAGCATATAGAATTTTATTTTTTAAAAGAGTCGAATCCATTAAATCGTCGTACCTTAAATCAACAGATATGCACACGCACAAAGTGATATATGACGGAATTTAAATGGAAAACAAAGTTTATATATACATACATGTTTTCACTAATCGTTAGAGAGATAGAGGATATTTTCGCGGAACGAGAGGCCATATTACGTATGCTATTTTATTGATAAGCACATTCATTTAGTTACATAAACTTCGCTAAAGTACATTCGTGAAATGAAAAAAACGCTTTTTATTATTATTTTTGTTTTGTTTTACTTCAATGTTACTGTTAAAGTTATATAGTTTGTCAGATTACTGTTTAATCGTTTAAAATCAACTCGAGTCCTTTTTTGTAGTACAAATATGTTGTTATAGATTGTTCCTCCGGATTTGAAAAAGAAAAAGATGTTAACGCAGTATTAAAGTAATCGTTGTGAGATATGCAAAGAAAATTATAGGCTGGTCCTAAAATTGAAAGAAATTTATGCATAAATTTATAATTATTTTGACAAAAAGGGGCTTCTGTGAGTCTTTAAGGATACTGTGCAGTAAATTATATGTGACACAAAATTGGATAGATTTATATAATAATCGTTGTTATAAATAAGGAAAGTCTTTTTTTTTCAAATCTAATTTACCTTTGATAGTCAATGTTTCCAAATTGAAAAGAAAAAAATGTGTAAAAGAAACTTTATTTTCACTGCACAATAAATATTTTTATTACGAATTTCCTTTTTGTTCTTTTCTTTTATGCCAATCATTTATTACTAAATTTAGATTAATAAGCTTCTAATTAACAAAAATTGTGACTGTAACAAGTATCCTTAATTAAACTCATCTGAAGAAAGTGGGAAAAGTATTTAATGTGATGGATAGATATAATTATATATACTAATATTTTTGTGTATTATATTATGAAAATTAAATATATAAAATTATATGTTGATTCTGCTTTTGCTGGAAAAATATACAAATATACAAACTATTTAACAAATGCATCTATCGAAGTGCATCTTCACTTCAAAGTCATTCTATAATGGCACTAGTACAATTGAATATACCTTATATGTTATTCATAACATAACTCTATACGATACCTGCACTCACACTGTTAACCACTAAAAAGCTTTAACATACCTGTTTATTACCTGTTGAACATCTGAATGAAATATTTTTAGCATATTTAATCATTCCAATATTGACACTATAAAATCTCATTTACTATCATTACTATTGACCAAGATACAGTTTATCTTCAAGAAACAAATATTTAATATGAAGTTGTGATAAATGTGGGAGAAATGTTTAAAACTGTACAGTACAAGTTGTATACTTTATCTACGACAATGTAAAACAAATCTAAATAAATGTAAAACTTAAACTGTTGTGATATGAAAAACTAAGCTTCTTGAAATTGTATGTTATATTTTCAGAAATTTCACTTATTTTATTTTTTTCAATCGTGTATCTTTTCATTTTTCAATTATTTGATTGATATATTTCAGTCTTAAACATTTCAGTTAAAAGTTGTCAATTATTTTTCAAAAGATCAAGATAATATCACTTTTCTTTATTTCTTCATTGAGTTGTCTTTAAAATAAAAACAATTTTTTTTATTTCTGAAATGAAAGAAGAAAAAATAGGAAACACACCTTCTGCTTTAACTAACTCTCCAAACTAACACGATGAGTGAAATCACTAGCAAAAGAACAGGTCAGTAACTTAAAATTTCATATTTGTTTTTTGAATAGATATGGAACATCAAGAGGAAGCCCTGCGCAATCTGTAACATCGCCAACAAGTACTACGGCAGGAAGCACAACGGGATCGAGTTCCCCAGGCGGTTACACGAGCAGGTTCGTAACCAGCGATCACGACATTCACGACTTCGATTCTAATTCCAGTAATTCCCTGGCTCATGATGATCGTTCTAGGACATTTAGCGATCGTGATAACAATAAAGTTGACGTTGACCTTGACATAACCGAGACGACACAGACAGTAGTGCGGGGCGAGCGGGAAGCGTCCTCGTCGTCCTTGTCCAGTAGTCGAAACTCGGCCGTGTCGCCGTTGTCGCAAAGCACCGATAGTCGCCAACAGTTCGCGGGTCAACGTGACCCTACAGTTAAGATACTCGTCGAAGGCGAACAGTGGTCGAGCCAAGACGATGATAAAGAGAGATTTGAGACTGAGAGCGATAGCTCGCCAAATTTTCTTAAAATGAACGAAACGAATGACAATATTGTCGATAATGATGATGCTGAAGATGATGAGGATGATGAGGATGATGAGGATGATGAGGATGATGACCATAAAAAGTTTAAACTAGATGCTATGATTAAGAATGGTGAGAGTGTAGATGAAAATAAAGAAGAAAAAAGTATGACCGAATCAGAGGAAGAATCCAGTGAAGGTGGGAATGTCGAAATTATAATTGGAAGAAATGATAAAATAAAAGATGTAATGATATTTGAGAAGGTAAAGAATAGTAAACTAACAAATGGAGAAATAATTGAACAGTCTGATAATGAGGTTGAAAATGAAGATAAAAATAGCCCGTTTGATAATAAGATAAAGGGAAAGAATACACTAAATAGAAATTCATTAAATGAGCCGAAAAAAGATAGCAACGAAGGAAGCATTTTGGAAGAAGAAATTGACGTAGATGACGCCATAATTGAAGAAATCTCAAAATTTGAAGAAAAACATAAAATTGATGACTTGGAAAACGTCACAAAGGAAAAAAGATTGCTGAACGGAGGACTGTTAGAAGAGTCAGAAGAAGAGGATGAAAAAGAAGATGAGGAAAATATATCGAAGAAAAAAATATTAAATGTAATTCTCAATAACAAAGCAACAAAAGTAAAAGGAACAGACGTAATATCACAAAACCATAATGGAGCTAAAGTAAATAACTTCAATGGAGAGGTCACAGATCATTCAGATGGTGAAATAGAATATGACGATAAATCAAGTATTGAAGAGGAAACAAAGAAGGAAGAAAAAATGGTTAATGGAGATGTATTTAAGGAATTTAAAGACGAATCAGAAGATGAAATCGAAGTCGGCATCACCAAAAGCCAAGTGGTATTAAATCATGATTCCAATAATTCCTTCAACTCAAAAGTTCCTATAAAGTACAATAAACTGTTGGAGGAGGAGCAAAGCCAGTTCGACGACAACGGCTGGGTGGTCGCAGATGAGGCGCCGTTTATGAGCGCAGATCAAAAGCTGGACGAGAACGGCTGGATGGTACCCACAAACTCCGCGGTCGCGAACGCGAATGCGAAAGACGATGTAAACAACAATAACGACAGCAGTAACAAACTCGACGAGGGCCAATGGTGCATCGGGGAAAACGGTTGGATTGTCGTGGATGACGATGATGATGATGCCCCAGCCAACAAGGAACAGACTGTGAGCGACGATGGTGCTTTGCCGACGACGGTGGCGGCTGCGGTGGCGCCGTCGGTTAAACCCAATTCTTTACTGAACGATGCGAGTTTACCCATGCACATGGTAACCACCGTCTTCTGTGTTTCCGTACTGTGTTGTAGTGTCTTAATTAATTTATTTATGTAACTCAACAACACTACAACTACAATTACTGTTACTACATAATTTGCGCTGTTATTAACGTTACGATGTGTCTTATTTTTATCTACTACATACGCACTGATGTCATTTTTTGTCTCGCAATACGACGAGAATATGACTGTTAAACCACATTAATTATCTCGCTCTTGCGGCTAGATGTAAGAGACTGACGATACGTTACTGTGAGAAATATAGCTGGACCGATATATGATTTTGTTCAATAGATATAGCTGCACGGCATTTGCATTTTTATCTTCCCTGGAAAGCCTAATCTTTTGTGATAAAAATACGCGATAACTTGTTGACGTTCCTATTGGCATATATTCTAGTTTTAGTGAAATTGGCTGTGCTATATTGTCATTATCTTTTTTTTAAGTTTTTAAGGCAAAATTCAAAATTTCTCATACGAGGTTGCATGAATTATAAAATATAAAGCTTTTTTTTGAGAAATTCGATTTTTGACTGTTGAAACCTCGCGTTCTCAGACTGCTGTTGTTGCTCGTGTGAGCTAGTAGATGCATTGCATAGCTTTGTAATGAATTTTTGTACGTTCGTACGTCTATATATCATCAAAAACTCCCGCACGCCATTTATTAGTTTAAAGACCCCCATGAATAGAAATTTGCTTGAATGATTCCGCCCCCGGTAAATGACTTGAGAAGAGAGCTAGAGTCTTGAACGCCGTTCGTGATAAAAATTGAAGCTGCATTGGCAATACGACGGTCGAAGATACTTACTATCATCGAAGTTTTATTGTCGAGGCAACGATAAAATAAACCTTAAATTACTTACCACTATATAATCCTTTTTTTGTATAATTTTTTCTTCTATATAGCTTTTAATTAAAACTTGCGTGAGATTGTTGGTGTGGTAAATAAACTAAATTATCGTGATAAGAGGCATTATTTATTTACCTTCTCAAACACCGTCCTTGATTCTATCGTTCTCTTCTTTATGTTTGCCACCCAACACTTTGAGAGACACCAAGACCACGATCCAGACTCATATACTAGCTACTGTTTCTTTAGTTGAAACGCATCAGTCGCTAATTTTTTTGTTGTAATCCATTTCACTCAATATCACTTTGTAAATTAATCATTCTCACATTACTCACCTAACAGTGACACTTACAAATTTTATACACCGATTACCTCATGCATTATTACGATATCCCGCATTCATATATGAAAACGATAAAAAAGTGCACTAACAGTTCATTGCTTGTACATCACATTACAATGCGTAATCACTTATTCACGTTCGAATAAGACTTCTTGTTATTGTATTCATGTAACGCATATACCGTTTTCGATTGAAAAATCCTACAGTACGTTCTATATTTTAACGCGTTGAAAATAAATTTTACAATTATTCAATCTATCTCACGTCGTCATCCAAACTTTCAAATGAAAGAATCATCGTCGTAAAAAGCTTAATATTGGCTTGATCGATTGCTACATCCCAATGTAGACTTAGTCCTCATGGAAAGAAATGACAAAAATAATGAGCATCAACAATGTATATCGTCGTGGGATAATCGGCATATAAAACCATCACTACCGCACCACCAGCACAAAGCTACACGATAACAGCCGAATAACCATTGGAAAATCCTGGTGTTTGGCAACGTTGCAGGTTTCTCAACAAGAGTCGGAGTCAGGCAGCCGTGGGCACAAGCAGCAGCAACAACAGCAACAGCAGCAGCACAGGGAGCAACAGCAATGTCAGTCCAAGCAGCAACTACCATCACCAGGCACCAGAGCCCTTGGACCTGAGTGCAAGCAACAATCAAGACAGTTCGTCATCGCTGATGTCCCCGCGTGCGCGCTACGCGGCGCTGAAGGAGCGCCGTCAAAAACTGGCGAGATCGCGCAGCAGCCATCAGTTCGGTGGCGAGGACATGGACATCGAGGAGGATCCACCGTCGCCTACGACCCAATCACCCAACGCTTATCTAGCGGCGAAGTACGGTGCGAGCTCCGACTTGGCCAGGAGCCGAAGCACTCATGCGTTGAAGTCCAGGGAACCAAGCCCAGATCGCGAGCGTCCAGGCGCCGAGAAAGACGGCGCCGCGCTCAGCTCGTGGGCCAGATACCTCAAAAACAAGTACGGTAATCGCACCTCCAAGGACAAAGAGCCGCCCTCCTCGGCCTCCTCTGCTTTACCCTCTACCAGGTAATTTATTTTTTGCACTTTTTCCACTTCATCCATTCTCGATACAATTTGATTTAGTTATATTTTTGTACAAAACTGAGAACGACATGATTGTTACTACGTTACCTTTTTTAACCAATTTTTATTGGAGATTAGTTATCGACGATCATGTTGTTTCAGTTTTTCAATATTCTTCATTTACACGGTTGGAAAACTTGATGAATTCTAACATACAATATTTTTTGTCACTTTTCAGACGCAAAAGATATTAAGACTTTAACTGAATCATCATTGAAGTTAAATATCGTGATATAAAAAGTACAATTATATAAACAATGCTCAGTCGTGTTATTTATTTATTTATTTATCAATCACTAATTACTGTTGAAGCAAGTTTGAATAAAATGTTGTTTTTAAAAGCGAACACTTTCTGTTCTTTGCCAAATCTTTTCGATGCAAAAATAATAATTACAATTATTAACACTGCAACTAATTTTTTTCATATTTTTTTTCTTTATCAAATTAATAATTTTAATGTGATTCGAAACATTGATAATAATTTATAAATGTACACATTAACACATTGTCAGATCATCGATTTAACTGAAGCAAATATTACGATTGCTAATTTAACAATCTAATAATTTCATCATTTTCCAACAGTGTATTATTATTTTACCCATATTTAAATAGGGCAGTAGTTTGACTGTTTCCAAGTATGTAGTATAATTTATGCTTGGTTAGAGTAGTTATGAAGATGTAAGAATAAATACAAAAATAGATACAGCATAATTTGATACTGGTTAGTCAAAGAAATACAAACGAAACTAAAAAATAATAATACATGAAAAAGTGATATTGACACTTTTCATTGAAGTGTCATTAATTAGTCATCTCACCATAATATCATACACAGCTGAGCAATGCGATAATGCAATTATTTAAAAACAACTCGTAATATTCCGTTCTAGACGCTTGGAAGAGAAACTTAATGCTGTAGCTAATTCATTGAAAGAAAACAAGTATCGCGTGGGCGGGTAAGCGACTCCCCAAAATACACCAGTGAAATAATAAATAAATAATGTATCAAAAAGCCCATTAATATTTTTATCAGTAAAAAGTGATAATTAATAATCTTCATCAAAACGTTATTAACTTTGTTTATTCGTCATCTTATCACTGCATATGTGTAAAAGAATTAATCGATTTTCCAAAGAAGCAGTGAGCTACTGATAAAATAGTGTTATATTTTATTTTAGACGACTGGGAGATAAAATCAACTCCGTATCTAATACATTGAACGATAGCAAGTATCGCGTGGGGTAAGAAATTCTGCCCCCTCTCCCTCACACGGGTGTATAGCTGTTATGAAGAATTCGAGCTTTACTTTTTGTTAACCAACTTTACTTTGTTACCGCTTAATGTTGTTTCTTTTTCAATCGATATATAATACCGAAGCCTCAAAAAACATACCTCTAGTTATTCAGAATCACGCATATGTATACTTTTAAGTGATGAGTCTCAGTTTTGAGAGCAAATTTTAAAACCTGTGAGTTTTGGTGATAAAATGTTTTCCATAAAGAAATTATTGTCGTTTTTAATCATTGCATTTTTAGTGCTTGGTAGATGAACGTAGAAATCAGGAGTATTTTAATTTTATTTATTTCGTTCTCATATTATCAAACAATGCCGATGATTTCTACGTAGATGTTTTCCCCGAAATCCTAATAATATAAGAGCACAAAATTTTCGTGGATTGGACCGAAGTAGTGGCTCCTTGTATCTGTATTAACATGTGAAAGCAGAAGGATGTGTGACAATAATAGTTTTTAAGTTTGGCGCTGTGATATTGTTTTTTCCTTGTTGTAACAAGTGTTGAGTTGTGAAGGAGATGTGACATATTGTAATTGATGGTAATGGTGTATTGGATATTACAGCAGCGGTGGCGCAAGTTCAGCCTCGCGAAGACTGTCTCTGGGCCTGCCATTGAGACACACAGGCCAAGCCTCCTTTGAATCTTCTGACGACGATCAAAAAAACCCGTCAGGCTCCCCCACGTCCCCTATAGCAGCTCCCGCTATACCCGCGGCAGCAGGTTCCTCCACTAGGTGAGTTTCAATTCTTTTTGTTTTATTTTCAACTCTTGCTCGACTGATATATCTACCAGTTGAACGGCAATTATCATAAATCATCAAAAACTTATTCGATAAACTTTTCAAATTCATGGTTCATTGAAACAAAGAAACTTCTTGCTCGTAATAACTATTAAAAATATTAATGATTAAACTTTGCATTTTTATCCAGTGAGTTAGGCGAAACATACATATTTGACACAGTTGTGGTAGTTTCGCGGTTTCGTAAGACTATTTGCTGAGAAAACGGTAAAAAGAAGTAAGAAAGAGGAGGAGGTGGAGGAGGACGACGACAAAAGAGAACGACCTTGTCATTGCGCGCGAGGCGTGTGGCACTGAATATCTGATCTGAAATCTAATCTCGATGAGAAGAACGTTTTTGGGTGGAACATACCAAATGGATTTCTGCTTAGATAGCACGAAATGCACTCGCGTGAAGTTTCGAAGGAAAAAGGGGGCGAGCGCGCTACGCTGTCTGAGAGAGAAAGTACACGAGCAACGTCTGGGATCTGTGCCAAAATTTCCGATACTGTCGCTCGCGAGGGCAGATCGCGTACATCCTTATTTCGCCTTAGCTACAGCAAATTTTATTTCGCCAATTTCTCGTTACACTCTCTCCTCTCACGTCTTACTTTTCACAATGTCATTACTTTTTATTTGAAATATTGTCGATTGCGCGTCTCTCGAATGTGTTATAAATACTTTAATTTCTTTTCATATTAATTATTAATATCCCTAATGTATTTCTGTCCAAGGGGGCAATACTTGCTAAAGCGGCGGCAGCTGTTTAAGTTTGGGATGCGGGGGAGCGAAGCCGGATGCTTCACATGGCCAAGAGGCCTGGCCGTCGGCCCCGACAACTCAATCGTCGTGGCCGACAGCTCTAACCATCGCGTTCAAGTAAGTTGCTTCCATGTCAACTTTTAATATATTTTAAAACCGTATTTATAAGCATTGTAATTGATTTCAATGTCATCTCTTGATCGATAGTTTTTCACTTACTCATTATTTGAATAATTATACAGGTGTTCGACGGCAACGGAAACTTTATAAGAGAGTTCGGTACATACGGCAACGGCGAAGGAGAATTCGACTGCCTCGCCGGAGTGGCAGTCAATCGTATCGGCCAGTTCATCATTGCCGATCGCTACAATCATCGTATCCAAGTTTTCGATCCATCAGGTCGTTTCCTTCGTGCTTTCGGTTATCAAGGCACAGCCGACGGTAGATTCAATTATCCATGGGGTATAACCACTGATGCTCTGGGTTTTATTTATGTCTGCGATAAAGAAAATCATCGTGTCCAAGTCTTTCAATCAGATGGCACCTTCGTTGGAAAATTCGGTAGCTGTGGTTCTGGGCGCGGACAACTTGAACATCCACATTACATCGCTGTTAGCAGCACCAACAGAGTCATCGTCAGCGACAGTAATAATCACAGGATTCAGATTTTCGATGTCAATGGAAGAGTACTGACTGCGTTCGGAGGTGAAGGTTCAGACGATGGACAATTCAAGTTTCCAAGAGGAGTCGCTGTCGATGATCAAGGATTCATCATTGTTGCAGATTCAGGAAATAATAGAATTCAGATATTCACTCCAGAGGGTGTGTTTTTGAAAGCCTTTGGAAATTGGGGTTGTGGTGATGGCGAATTTAAAGGTTTGGAAGGTGTTGCCGTGACATCCGCAAGCAATATCATCGTTTGCGACAGAGAGAACCATCGGGTACAAGTTTTCTGACATTCGTGCGACACCGACTATTGTGCCATATTGTTCAAGATACTATTCTGGATGACGATCTTTCTAATCACGCTCTTAACATTTTTCCTTACCGGATTCTTTTATCGTCATCAGCGCTATTCTTATCTATTTTTTGACTTCCAAGGGAGGCCTATAGTCGAATACTTTGGTCTTTGATGACTTCGTGTGTCTTTTCTATTATGAAAAATTTGTTAATTCAGTTTGTGTTTTATAAAATTTTTTACTAGTTAATCGGAGTGAGAGATTTTAAATTTTCGGAATTTTTGCTGACTAATATTATACATTATGACTTTGACTGTAGACCTTCCTTTCGTCTTTTGAGATTATCTATTTGAGCTACTTAAAAAATGAAGAGTAAAACTGAAGGAGGCATTTTTTAGATCAGGTTTTTTTTCTTTTTTATTTTTTAAATATGGAAAATCAGTTTTCCTCGTTCTTTCTTTTCAAGTTTATAACCTTTTATTATATTATTATCAAGTGGAAGATTCGGAATGAGAGGAATTGCCTGTTGTGATGTGCGCAATTACGTGAAACACGACGATAATAACGTGAACACATAAATAACTTAATTTAATTTGTACTTGAAGAATGACGATACATAGTTTGTACTGTTTGTATGCTTTAAATAAATTGTTGCGGAAGAGGCTGTTTCGTGTTTTTTTTGTTTTCCTCACATTTATCACTCCTTAACCGTCAAACAATTATCTGCACAAATTAAAGTCAATAATTTTAAAAATTATTATTCTGCATGAACTGTAATAAATAACATAAAATATGCTAATTAATTTTCGTATTTTTTATAAGTGTCAAGATCGTTTAAGAGGAAACGCGATGAAAGGAAGCAGGATGCAAATATACTAAGGCTTGCCAAAACAGAAGATAAATCAGTCAATAAATATATAATTTATTAAATGCAATGATGAAATGGTGTAACAATGGGGGCGCCGGACGCGCACGGCGACATTATTTCTGCGGGACGATCGCCGCTCGTCACATCTCATTCAATCTCCTAAGTACAATATAATTAATTAATTATAATATATTTATATATAATCAGCGAAGAAAAAACGAGGATCGGGCAGCACGCGGAGGTTATAATAATAATAATTATAATGGCGCGCGCGCGACTCCCCTCTCTTGCGTCCGCGCGACCCCCGAATCGGAAATATATAGTTAAAATATTTTCGTTATTTACAAGATTAATTAAACATTAGTCGTTAATAAATAATAATAAATAGTGGTACAGTACATTTTTTGTTGTTGTCTCACATATAATCCTTTAATAATGTTTACCACTCTCGCAATCGTACGATTCAAAATTGTCTTTTTTTTTATCCTTAATAAATTCAAGAGTTTTTTTTCTTTCATTTTTCTCTTCTTCGTATAATGAACGTTACGCTTGCAATAATAAAAATATTAAAAGAGATGGAGCACTGATTACTCGTTTGGTTTGTTTTTTCCTTACTAGCACTAGAAAGGTATAGCGCAAAAATGACCGCGAACGCCGTGTTTCGTATTGGATCACCTTCGCGATTTGTTTATCATTAAGTTCGTTGGAATTTATTTCTATTTAATTTGTACAACCAATTTCCAAGACGAAGAGGCGACGCGGTCACGTAGTATCGAGACGGTCTTTGGGTTTACACTCTCTTCCGATCTCGCCGCTCTTACGCCTCTGATCCTCTGGGAAGTGCGCGCGGACGGACAAGCGGATGGGGTTTCGCAACGGCGAGGCGGCGCGCGACGGTCTCGACACTTCCGCCCACTCCATAATTCTGTTAGAGTGTATTATGTGTGTTTAAGTTGTGTATTCGTATTGAATCTGTGTGTACATGTGTAGATATATAGTCGGTTTCTACTGTACTTTATTATCTCTCAACTACGCTTTCGTTTTATATCTCTGACTCTAAAAAGTTTAGTTTGAAAAGGTGAAATATAAGATACGCTCTGCTCCTACACTCGTTCAGATACCTTTCTCTCTATACGCAAGACGAGCTTTCTTATTTTTCTTTTTATGGAATTTAAGAGAATGTCCGAGTGGCAGCGATTAGGCCATGCGGCTTCTATATATTTTATTTCAAATCTAGTCTTCTTGGCTTTTTTTTACTCACATAGATTTGATAAAGTTTCGCCCTCTAGTTATTTGGAGATTGAGATTAATTTGTTGAAATTGGTTTTTAAGGTTTTCAAGTGATTCATTGAAGCTTCTATCCTAGCAAATCTTTTATAATCGAGTGGACTTTATTGCGATACTTGATTTTTCCATTTTCTTCTTTCTCTAGCTTCTCTTTATGCAGTAGATTAATGCGTTTATTTATCGATACATGCGATTGAAGTTTACTTGAAAAAAACTACACTAAATTTTTTTAATAATTTTTTTATGCTCTTTTTTCTCTTATCACCCAGCTTAGGCTCAACATTGGCCTTGGCTCGCGGTCGAAAAATACTGCGTTATAATTTATACTTTATAAGTCTCAGAAAGATGACGGTATTATCGCGTTTATTTTTTCTCTTGTTTAGTAGTAAAAGTCGGGCTTGGAGTACGATTTAATCCTAAAAATCTGTCCGAAACAATAACTACAGATAACTGAGTTTATTTTAATATAAAGATTACAGAGACATATCAATGAAAATAATTTTATTAATTTATCTTTGTTTCGCTCAACTTTAGTAAAACCCTAATATTTCGAGAGCAGGTTAAAAATATATCATCTACGATAGTTAATTTGTTTTTAACATAAGCTCAGTCATTTGTAGCTTCGCTCAGAGTAAAACTAGCCAGCCTGTTTAATCCATCCTGGCATTGAAAATCGCTAAATCTTATAATAGATTTTTAATTATGCAATAAGCAAAAATATGAATATGATAGTTTGTATGTATTATTAACTATACCATTACTCGTTTTCTTTCTTGTTAAGGATTAATAGAATCAAGATTGATTAATTAAATAACTTATTAACAATGATTGAAAGTTTTACATCCTCTTTCTTTTCATCATCTTTCGCGTGATTTTTTCTTTATTGTATTCCTTTCTCGCTATATTAGTTCACTCATTCGTTAAATTCGCTCGCTCTTCATTTCACATTTTTTCTTTAAATGTATGTATAATTAATTAATAAAATCTTTAAGCTTAGTGGCATGAAAATGCTCGTTGGAATTGACTCATGTATACAATATTACATGTGCGATTACGCCTCGTTTTCACCTCTTGGTTACCATTTTACATTTACTTTTGTTTGTTTTATCGAAAGTTATATTCAATTCTGCAACACGTTCTGATTGTAACAAAACATTTTGACGAACACGCGAATGAGCAAGTAGGGCTAATAAAAGTAATTCACCAAATCCCGCAGCCCATTGCCAAAAAATTTATCTTGACCTGCTGCCAGATTACCCAAGCGACCTGAGCGAAAACCTTTACAACTTTTTTTCTGCCTGCCGTTATATAGATGTTGAATACGTGACATTGATAAATAAAGAGAAGTTCTTTTTATTTCGAACTCGTTCAATTTACAGAATTGAAAAGAAACGATTGACCTCAGAGTCTATACATAAGTACAACTGGTCAAGGTCGATTATGCAAGCTCTTTTTATTCACTTAGCAGCGATAAATAATGTGCACGAAAAATTGTGAAATGAGTCCAATTAGAAAAGTAACAACTGAATCAATAAAATTCACAAAATTAGAAAAAAAATATTTTTTTCAGAATATTAGCTACGCAGTGAGTGTAGCGAGTGAAAATTTTTCATAAAAATAACTATTTTAGCTTGAGGTTTGTACTGGATACGAATGTGCAGGAAACGTAAGAAAAGAGAGTGAATACGAGGTTCGCAATCGTCGAAAAAATTTGTTCAGCCTGCCTTACTGGCGAGAATTCGCCCGCCCGTACGTCATCCATTTACGTGTGTTTCTCCCCGTGTCCGCGTGCGCGTCACGACGCAGATTACGGAAATACTTTCTTAGATCACCATGGATTTATCACAATATTGAATAATCTCCCCTTGCTCTTTGCTACAAACCAACAGGAACGCGAGGCCCTCGGCTCTGTATAATGTGCTTACGCTAAGAAATAAATTGTTGATTTGTTTTCTTCCTTTTTACCGTCATTATTTGTTCGCATTGGCGAGAGCGCACTACGCGGAAAGAAAACCTCTCAGCGTTATTTTTTTTTAATCTTACGTATTATATATTATTTATATTTGATGGCTTGTTCGCCATCAATTGTTATTATTCTTTTCTTTAAAAATCTCCTGAGTGGAGGAAAAATCTCGGTAATTAGATAATCGATAACAAGCCTAACGTTAAAAGTTTGCACCTACGGTAATAAGTTTTCTTTTGCTTCTGTTTTCTTTCAATTCGTCTCGACTTCGCGTTACGTCTTGTGTCTTTCATTGCTAGATTGAATTTTTTTTCGCTTAATCTACATTTAAAATCTCAATATAAGAAATTGATCATAAAACACCGTGACTTCTTTGCACAGCCCGTCCAAACTTTTTTCATCGCCTTCAACGTATGTCGTGTTTTTCCAGTTTTATTTGCGAACGCGCTCGAAGGAATCAGCAGCCATCAGCTCCAATACTATAATTACGTAAATTTTTTTATTTTTATCTATATCTCATTGCAAAAATATCGGAAAACTTCGTAGACTCGTCAGCGACGCGAGTGCGCCGTTTTACGTTTTTTTATAAATTTGTTTCTTCGTCGTCTTCCTCTGTCTCTATGTATATTTATATATATATATATATATATATTTTTTTTTATCTTAATTAATCGTAAAAGCTCGTTACGCTACGACTCATTCCTAGTTTTACTCGCAACTTTACGTGGATAAATTTTCATCAGTAGTTTAGGAGAATAAGACTCGATTATACAAGAATTAAGAAAATTAATTTGATTATGTTTAATTCGTTAAAATTACGAATGTACCACCTTCACAGTCTCCTCGCACTAGATTTTAATTATGTAAAAATCGAAAAATTGGACTTTTTTTTAAAATACCTTATGAAAAAGTGTCTGAAGCACGAAGTAAACCCAAATTCTACGCATTTTGAAATATTTTCATCGCTATATTAGACTAATCGGCTTACACGTTATCAGAGACTAAATCGCCTCAAATCACTAGATTGTACCGTTACGTACAATAAGCAAATGTACGAAAGTTTGTCTGTATTTGCTGTGTATATGTGTGTGATGTCTTTCACTATCTTTTAACATAGGTTCGAACTCGCCGATTCCTTTGATCGCGCTCGAGTTACTATTTGTTTATTCTTCGTTTCCTCGTCTTCAGTACTTGAGTGAGAGCTCACAGATAAAAGATCACCGCCTTGTTACATCGGGCATCGACTCTTTTGTTTAAATTAGTGTCTTTTGCTTTGTTTTCACCATAATGTTTCGACGACATGCGTACAAAAGTTTTGTTTCTGCCGCCAGTGCGCACGCCACGCGCACTTAGCACCATATATTGTTTCATTTTTTATATCTTCATCCTCGAGCAAATTATGTTTTTTTTCTTTCACGATAGATCACGCAGTCATAGATCACGCAGTCTCGGGACTTGTTGAAAATTATAAGCACGTATACCATTAAACGAAGGAATTATGGACGTGTTTCTCGCAGACACAGTAAAACAAAGTCCATTTGTAAACTCCTTGTTTTTGTTTCCTTTTTTTACTGCTAATTCTTATCTTGCGTAGCTCTTGCGTTGAATTTTTTGTTTTCTTACAATACTTCTTTTATTTTTTTATTTTTGACTTAAATTTAGCATTAGAAAAATCCTTAAAAATAAAAAATACGAAAGCGACAAAATTATTTTTCTCTCTTACGAATGATATTACTAAATAAGACAAAAATATCCTACGCTTGTACACACGCCTTTCGCTGCGTTTATTTTTTTATATGTTACCTGATGCAACTCTATATGATACAGTCATAAAATATATAGATAAATCGCTCTTCGACATATCTCAACAATCGAACAATGTAAAGTATAATTACAAGGCTAATCAACAATGTAAACTATATTACGTAAAATTTGCCAACTTGCATGTCGATGGACGCATTAGAAAACTAACGTCGTTATACAAAGAACAATGTCGAATAAACTCTGTCTAATGTGCCACTACAAAAAGCAGAGTTATAAAAAAAATAAAACAAAGCCAAATAAAATAGAACAATGTTTCATTTAAGTCCATGTTTCCTTGAACACACATACATGTGTCGATCATCACAAAACTAAAAACAGAAAATAACCATCATTAACGCACATATATATATGTGTGTATATGTATAAATAATCTACGTTCGAGCGCTTAGCTTTTACAAAAAGAACTTGCGACTTGTTATCACATTGTATGCAGGACGCGTGAAGTCTGCCTCCCATGGATTTAACCACTTTTCAATATCTACGTCGTTTATATATATTTACACTTCACTAGTTTAAACTTCAAAAGGACTTGTCTCTTAAGTACAAATTGGTTGTCTTCTTTTATTTCTCGTTCACGATAATGAAAATTTGATTAATCGACAAACGTACTCAATTATTTATCTTACAAGTTACATGACGACGAATTGTGTACATGCATGTGTTGACTCTACAAAACTAGTGCATTGAAGTGTTGGTATGAGAGAAAGAGAGAAAAAAGAATATGTGGTGCCTTTGTTTTGTTGCGACTTTGTTTTGCGCAATTTTTACTAAATTTTTATTCAGGTACTTGATTACGCGTCAACCTTGAGACAATCACATATCTCACATCTCGCTTAAATACGGATCTACTTAAAAAAGAATTGATCGTTCGCGCGCGTTCGCTAACAGAGCGTGAAAAGTCTCGAAAGAGAAAATTCTCTCTTGCTCTCTTCGTATTTAATTTTTTTTTGTTAATCTATTTTTTTCATTCGTTTTTATAAAAAAAGGAATTTTCCCTGCAGTCTCGGCACGAGTGACAAGCTAGATCGCGTAGAAAAATATCGAGATGGATTACGGAGAGAAGAAGACTCATCCTTTTGAACAGGCCAAAGTTTTAAGCTGACAAAGCTAGTACGGTTTTACTTTATATATATATATATATATATATAGTTGAAGAGAGATAGATAGATATATAGATAGAGAGAGAGAGAGAGAGAGAGAGAGAGGGAGAGAGAAGGGGGAAGAGAGAGAGTATCAAAAGCATAGCACGAAAACTTGTCATTATTTGTACTACTTTCGCAATTTCATTAATCGATTAAATTGGTATTTTTTGTGAAATTGTCTAATAATTTTGTGAAAAATGATTGTCTGAATGGTTCAACTAATGAGTTGATATTTTTCTTCTTCTATGTCGAACCAAAAAGTTATGTAAAATACTCTAAAAGGAATTTTCATTTGAAAATATTCGATAAAGCAGTGCTTAATACTAATGTTTTACTTTGAAAAACTTGAATAATACTTAATCATATTGAGCCCTTTAATGGCGCAGAAAATACATTCTCAAAAGTTGATTAAATATTTGATTGCCAATAACATCTAAGCAATTAGGTAATCATAAGTACCTCTGAAAATTCAATAAATATTCCATTGAAATCAACCGTAAATTCGAAAATTCTTACCTAAAATTGATCTCCCCTTCGACAATCATTTCCTACTACATCATAACTATAATAAGAAACTCGAACAGTAGATCTTACCTGCAGTAGTAATGAAAATTATCTTTGATTGCTTAACTTGAAATTGTTAAGACATCCTATAAACTACGCTAATAAACGACAAGTTTCCGAGTCGAGACAATAGTGAATGGACGAAAAAGAAAGTATAACGTTGGACAAAAATCTTCGTTCTTTTAGCGAAAAGTGGTTAAGATCCGTGCGAGCGCTGTAGTATATATCGAAGAAGGAAAAAGATAAGTGTTTGTTTAAAGAGAGAAAATAGGGATAGAAAGAAGAATAAGAATAAGAAGAAGAAGAAGAAGAAGAAGAAGAAGAAGAATAAGAATAAGAAGAGGAGGGATGTGAGAGACAGTCTAGATGTTGCGATGGCCTTGGGCAAGTTGAGCAAGGCTGGCACTGCTGCTGTTGCTCGTAGTTACTGATTCGCCGTTGTTTCGGCTGCACCTGGGCTAGATGAGTGCGAGTTTTGGTGGACAGCAGCCGCCCGCGAAGTGACCGCTGGCCCCGCTTGCCTCCCGTTCGCGCTTGCGACGGCTCTGGCGTTCTGCAGTCTGTAATATCAGCAGGAACAGAAAATGTTGCTTCATTATTGTGAGCCACACACTCGCTTATTCTTGATTTATTACGCTTGGATTTCAAAAGTTTCTTTATTTTCGTTTCGAGCGCTAGACTACAGTAGTTCGATTTTTAAAAAGCTGAAATTTTTAGTGGGGCAGATTGGAAGAATTTGCGATGAGGCTCCGAAGATGATTAAGCGTGTCAGATAGGACGAAGGCCGGGCACAAAGTTTTTCTCAATAATATTGTTAACAAAGATTAATCCTTGAATTATTTTTCGAGCTATCACACGTACGTCCAATGTTGAAGTCCTATTTTCACTCAATTACAATGATAAAGCAACGACAAGACATTCTCGTGACAAACAAAATCAGTCAACATTAAACTGGCAAAAGATAGATCATCGAAGAGCCACTCTCAGAGCTACGTCGCGTTGGAAATCTAGTTTCATGTTAAGAGGGAAGCACTTAAGAACGTTTAATTGCCTCTTTTCGCGAAAGTTTGATAGAGAAAAAGAGAAGGGGAAAAAGCTGCGGAATTCTCGTGTCAGAATCAACAGCAATAAAAGCGGCGCGCGTAATCTGTTTTTTGCTTGAACCGCAAGAAGAAAATTTCCCATTGGCAAAAGTATGCATGTTCGTGCCTCGCGTGATACCAACCACCACGCGATACGTGACTTGTGACTATCATTTCGCTCTTTTCTTTCGCATTAATACTGGTTACTTACCGGTCGCGAGTCGTCCCAAGTCAGGCTGCATGGTTGGACAAGATCAAGGAGAGAAGCGCATGGTTAATTTTTATTACGTGTTAGTGAGAGAAAGAAGCATTATTAAGCAGACCGGCAGTTTTATCGCGGAAAGATAAACTCACTTGATTTTGGACTGTCGCATGAATTGTTGGATCTTACGAGCTGCTTGGTGTGCCGCCTGCTGTTGCACCGCCTGTTGACGTGCGCTCGTCGCTGTGCCCGGGCGAGCGCGATAACTACGGTAGTTGTTCTGGATCACCATCGCTGCCTTCGTCGCTTGCCTACACAGCCACGGCAAAAATCCCAGAGAGACAAGGAAAGACAAGAGATTTTTTACAAATTCAAACCAACGGTGTCTTAAGCTACTTTCCGCGAAGTTTCTTCGTGTTGACTTTTCGACCAAGTTTCTGTGTTTATCCAGCTCAAGGCGCGACTCTCGTTTGCACGGAAAATAATTTTCTCGAGTGCATTCCGTTGCTCCTTTTAAGACTTGCAGGTTTTTTCTTTTGTTTACTTTGATTACTGATATCATTTTTTTTGTTGCGTTATATGCCAATGCATCGAATAATCTGTTAATGCCTCTAAAAACGAACCAATCTTCATTCGGTTGTACTTTTCAAATTCTTTTTACGAAAAAATCATTATCAAAGTAGGCCAGAAAAAAAAGTGTACCCTGACCTCCGCCTGACCAAACACTGAGCTGATCTACTGACTTCATAAAACGTGCCCATGTAGCTAGCCTGCAGCTATCTGGCCTGAGCGTGAAAATTCGTCGTCTAATCCGGAGACGCTAAGCGATAAATCGTCGTGAACAACGTGAACAACGTGCACACAAAGTACGAAGAAGCGTGAGAAAAGTATAGCGCTAAGCAGAGAGTATATAGCTCTCCACGTTCATTTCGCGCAACAACGAGAGCGGAGAAGAGAGATCGCGTCGCAAGGTGTCCCTCCTGTCTTTCCGTCCCGCGCGTCGTATTAATTTAATGCCAGCTTAATTTGGTATTCGGCCCGTCGCGGCTGCCCGCAAGAAAACGAAGGAAGAAGGACTTCCTCTCTCTCTCTCTCTCTCTCTCTCTTCGCTGCTGAACTTTCCGAATTATTTACGATGGCAATTAAAAGTTCAACGCGAGCTTGGTCAGAAACGAGTGACGACGAAGACGACGATCGTTAAGACGCTCTCTCTAGCAGCAGCAGTAGCAGCGTAATCGTGACTTATTTCGAAACGAGACCGCCGGGAGCTTCGAATAACTGATGATCGGCTGTCGTCCTAAGTACGTGTGTTAAATACTCATCTCGTCGTCAAGAAGTTTTCACGCGCTGCTTCCTTATATAGTTCTCTTACTACTCCATAGTAGCATAGGGTAAACATTTAAGCAATTGAACTTTATCAAATTATCGTTGACCTTATTTTTTTTTAAGCGACGATGTTTCCTTTTTCATAACGCGCGCGCGCGCAAAAAAAAGTCAACTTTTATGAGCGGAACTTCTTCGCTCGTCATTTTCTGATTTTATCAGCCACGTATAATTACCGTCTTTGCTCTTGTTAAAAAAACGACGTTGAGGTATATCGTGTCAACGCGTGACGAGAAATTTCAGCGATACTAATTTTAGACGATAATAGTCCCTGAAATATACATATATATAGATCGTACTTGGCCATATAATTAAACCCTTTTTCATCGAATGCACACGATGTTGTATGAAGATTAATTAGTTCTTGTTAAGATGTAAGAAAATTATGCATTCTTTGAGATAGTTGATATTCGGCATATAATGGCAATGCTTTATCGAAATTATAATTTGACATTTTCGTAAATGATACATTTGAAATCGATTAACTTGGCAAAAATTGGTAATAGAAGCCTATTAATGCGTCTGCTATAACGATTGGATAACACTAATTATCACACGAATCGAAAGCAGGTCAGCGGCACTGCACGTATAAATCAGCGCGATATTATCGGACTATCTATAGCCAAAGAGAAAAATCACGCAGACCTGTGATAAGCATACTGCTTGTGACGGCGATAATACTGCTGTATGAGAACGGCGGCATGCCTCTCAGCCTCCTCCTGCCTCTGTCTGCCCTTGTAGCTCCGATACGCCTTTTGAATCATTCTCGCTGCTTGATACAACTCTCGCTGCTCTTTGTCGGACAACGTGAGTCGGCTGAGATCGGTTTCGCCAGCGTTGGTAATATCGATGATCGACGAGTTGGACGGTGAGCTCGCGATCGCCGCGCTACCAATCACCTTGTCGGTTGAGCAGCTGCTCGCTTGCGAGCCGACGCCGCTGTCGAGCTGTAGCTGCAGCTGGAGAAAGTCACAAAAGTCGGCTGTCGTCGGTGGTGGCGAGGGCGAGTCCGGTGTCAGGCAACTCGATGACGGCGAGGACGGCGATGCCTCAGCGTCCACGTCGCTCACCGAGGCTGCGCCACCGCTGCACTCGCGGTACGAGTCGAACAGCTCGCCGGTGTCCAATGGCTGCGCAACGCGTTTTCGTTATCGTCTCACTTTCCCACTTTTCCGTGGGAAAAGTGCAAACTCACCATTTGCTCCATGAGAGCATCTCCGAGTGGCGGCAGAGGTGGCGCCGCTGGTGGTGGTGAGGCTGGTGAATTGGCTGTGGGGTCACATTGCTCTCTCTTGATCCTCTCGGGCAGCGCGGCAATAATTTGCTCGGCCAAGGTCAACACCCTCGGATCCTCCTCCCCTGCAAACAAGCAAAGCACACAAATGGCGCACTGTGGCCTAGTAGCCTTCCAAACGATTAACAACGACAACAATGAACAGCGTGTAGGTATATATATATATATATATATATATATATATATATATATATATATATATATAGAGCAAACGCGAACACCTTTTTCAATACAAGCTCGTTTGCCAATTTGTCAATGAAAAAAGGTTCGCAGTCGCTTTCAGAAATGATCTATGTACATCAAACAGTAATTCCGCACACACGTATTATACGTAACACAGAGGCATCGTTACTTTTCGTGTTGCTGTTTTTTAGCGTATAAATAGATATACATATAGATATGAACAGATGCGCGGGTTACTAGGAGCACAGTCCTTGATTCTCCGCCGCCGCAGTAGCAGCAGCAGCAGCAGCAGCAGCAGCCTGCAAAAGTTAGTTCCACACAGCTGCAACATCGATACAGTGTGCACGCAGCCAGCCAGCCAGGCTTGCGATCGGTGGTTAAACGTGCCGTGAACATCAACGCACTCACATTCACAGCCGTAAATGTATAAATGTATATATAGAGGTATACATGTCAATGTAGATGGCTTACTGTTAAGGGTTGAGGCTTTCTTTTTTTTATGTACATCTAATGACAAATTAAAGTCTCTAGGTATACCTGCACACATAAATTTCATGATTCTATTTATCTAAATGAATATACGCTACTAATGAAGGTAGGACGTACTCTGTCGACATTATTTTTGTGATGTTACGCTACGATGAATGATGATTCAACTATGTAAACGTGATCAACACAGATGCAATAAATTACAATTATGCACGCCTATGTGTTGGTAGGTGGATAGAGATGTGTGAAAGGTAATAATCAAACAACATCAACAAACAAAAGCTAGGGAGACAACAATGAATAAAACGTGTGAAGGAATAATAGAAGTCGTTCATGTGTGTGAGTGTGGGCATGGAGAGAATAAACCGGTGGCCAATGGGATAGAGAGACAGAGACATGTCGCACGTGTACATCAATCAACGTTAAGTCCAAGACACAGAGCTCCAGCAAGGCCAAAAGCAACACCAATACACTCAAGCCACCACCCCCAGGTAAATCTTACCTATACGTCTATCAATCAGCAAGCCTGCAATGGACAACTTACACTCATAGATATATACACACGTACACATACTAACGTATATAGGGCTAGGATCCGACGTCTTGGTAGCCACTCTAAGGGGCCATCGATATCGAGCTTGTCTCGTTTAGGCTTAATCTTAGATTGAATGCACGAACCATTGAACAAAGTGCCAGTTTAATATAGTAAGAGCTATTTGCGCAATGCATGTCATTAACATTGTGTGTGTGTATACTTAATAAAACGACGTTAACGGATACAATAAAATATTTGAAAGGCTCGGAGAGGTTTGTTGTTAATTGACCATTAGAGAATGAAAAGTCCGATAGGTGAAGGATTAATTGCGCTTTGCAAACACAAAGTAAAAGATTCCCAAAACACAAACAAACGTATAAGTGTCCCCAATGAACTGTAACGAAAACCATTAAATCACGCGGCTAAATCCCCTTTGTCACACACTTACACGTTACGGAACTGAGCCAGAGATAGCGTTGTGTATATGTGGCTGTTTATTTTCAGAAACATAGCGAGAGAGAAGAGAGTTAAACACGCACACACCCAGGCAAAGGATAACAGTTAGACAGACAAGCAAAGAGAGACACAGTCGAAAAGTTGTCATTTCTTAAACGGGTTTGATGCGTGAGAGAGATTAGGTGTTTACGGACCTAAGGACTCCGTGGGACTCGGGGTGCTATCCATGCCCTGCAGTCCTAAGGACGACTCGTCATCCTGCAATAGCTCCATGTTGTCCAGGAGCGGCGAGCCACCTGCATATTTCCAGTTCGTGGTGGATATTTTGCTTTATACTCAGTTTGTTTTTCATTCGAGACAGACAGATAGACAGACGCGATTTTAAATCTACGCAGATCGCAGGATCGTTTATATAACTATACTTTGTTTTAATCACTAGCTTTTTCGGGGATGTACTTATACTTTTAATAATTCTCTCGTAACTAAATTTTTAACATATATATTTATCTATATATAGTTATGAAAATGTACAGGGAAATTTTTTTTACGTACTAATTAATTTTACGGTCTTTAAAGAGTTTTCTAAGAGAGAAAAACTTTATGTTAGTTAATAGAATGCAGAAAAAAGTATTGAGAGCTGCAGCTGCGAAAAATTCAGGGGATAATTAAATAGTCTTGTTTCTGCATACTATAGCTAATAAACATCAATCAACACGAGCAGAGAGCTTGGTAAAAATACACCAATAAATCAAAAAGTAAAAAATAAAAATGAACACATAGAGAGAGAGAGAGAGAGAGAGAGAGAGAGAGAGAGAGAGAGAGAGAGAGAGAGAGAGAGAGAGAGAGAGAGAGAGAGAGAGAGAGAGAGAGAGAGAGAGAGAGAGAGAGAGAGAGAGAGAGAGAGAGAGAGAGAGAGAGAGAGAGGATTGGTACGACAGAGTTGCAGGTAGGTAAAGCGAACTCGACTTATGTACAAAATATTCGATGAAAAAATAAAATTCGTATATTACGCACCTACAATTCCGAGATAAGGATAATTACAGGTAAGATCGAAGAGTTAAAAGTTAAGAGAGAGTTAGAAACACTGATAGAGAGGATAATTTTGTTGTTGTTTTGAAAATAAAAAGAAACTAACAGAGAGCCAGATCGAGACCGCTGTCTTGGGAGTGCCTCCGCGGACTTGGGCTGGCCGGTCTGAGAAATAGCCTCTCGTCTTGGCGTCGCGCCTCCAAGCGATTCAGCTCGTCGGCAATTTGGCCATGACCGTTGCCCGCGGCCAGCTCGGTCGCGCTCCTGTTCTCGCAGTCCCGTACGCGCAACGCCTGCGCGTTCCATCTGCGACAGACCAACAATTCACAACCAGCCTGTGAATTTTTAGTTCTTCTCTTCGGACCGAGCAAAACCTAACTTTGTCGTTTGAAAAGCCGAACAAAACCGAGCAACAACCCGAGTACTTTTTATGCAAGCAAACACAGTGTCAAACTGAAATCAACTGACCGGTAGAGAATCCTTGCGGTGTCGGCATGACCAGCTGCGCAAGCCCATGCTAGCGGAGTCAAACCAGCCGCGTCTTGACGAAGTGCATCGACTTCCGTGTCGAGAACGCTGCTTGGATTCTCGGCTCGCCAGTGTAATAACGCACAAGCAAGTCGAGAATAGCCTAAGCCCGCTGCCAAGTGTAACAATGTTGGACCACCCGATTGTAATGGTTCGGCGTTCGTACGCCACGGTCTTACCACTGCGTCCTGCAAACAGTTGGATTTCCATGAAAATTACTCTGATGTCGACTTAATCAATATTCGCGCTTATTAACAATATGTAATATTGAAATGTAATATTGATACAATGTACGTCGAATACTGTTACAGCAATTATCGGATTTAGTAGAGCGTATGTCACAATTATTACGTTGCCCCAGATTTTACATACAATGCTTGAATTAAGCCCTGCTTTTACAGCATGGAAATTGAAAGCTTTTATCTCTGCTAAAATTCGAGACAATGCTAGTATGAAAATGATTGGATTGAGTTTATATTTCGACCGTATCGTTCGCTGCCAATAATTGGTAACGATTGCATGAGTTGGATAGTATTTTGCGACGTACCTGACAATAAGCAACAAGCCTCTCCTCCAGATGCGCAGCAGGCGAAGGCGGCCCGGGGCCCTGCAGTCTCGTCTCAACGTCGGCAAGTCGATCGAGCAACGCTTTCTCAGGACTAGGCTCACTTTGTGGTAGCCTGCGATACTCGAACGCAACGCTGTCCGACACGACGAAGCCGTCGCAAGCGACTTGCAGCGAGGCTATACCCGCAGCGTGAGCTGGACAGCGACAACGTAACACTCCTGGTTGCACTAGACACGCTTCTACTGGTTCGCCATCGAATAGTATCGAATAAGATTGCGAGGCACTGCCTGTCCAGGGACCTGCCACTAACACCTGCAATCATTCAAATCAACGAAAAAAGCGTTATGCGATTTATTTCAAAAAAACTCAAATCGTTCGTATTATTTGTCAATATCGAATTTCATCTTTCGCGCAGCAACCTGTGAATCTTAATTATATTGGTAATCACCATGCGAAAACTAATATCAGAATACAAATTGCATGTTTATTTCAAATCAATATCGGAAAAGGAATCCTTGTTCCAGCCTCTTGCTTTTTGTTTTTATTTTAATCCTAATTGCGTAAAACTATGATTTATGACTTTCAATTATCAATATTGACAGCGCGGTGTGGTTAAATTGAGCAAAAAACCAAAGAATTTAATTTTAATAATTTTTTTATACAATTCACAGATCAAAATTGACAAATAACATTAAGCTAACATCAGTACCCCCCTCAAATTGCCGATATCTCCAGGACAAAAAAAACATCGATCATCATTAAGAATCGCGAGCAGCGGTTAATAGGCGGAAAAAGAAGCCCAGAGGAGGCGATTAAGCGCGGCGGTCCGGTGACAAATTTGTAAGACCACAGACACATAACTATATCTATATATATACAGAGTGGTCATGAACGCGGCGTTCGTGCAGGCCGATAACAAATAGCTTTACGCGTGCACACACGCAGGCGTGAAAAGAAATGTGCTGCTGCTCGCTTTAACGAAATTAACGAGACTGTTAATCATTGAATCGTTGATAACAGTTTCTTTCCTTTTTGGAAATTGTTTAATAAAAGTGTCGCTTGGAAATCATCGACTGGGCAATTGTCAGATATACTTTTACAATTAAAAAATGACCTACCTTAACGCCACCCTCTGTGTAACTCCATTCGGGGCTGTACTCGGCGATGTGGACGGTAGGGCACTGGGACGACGTAGGCTGATGACTGGCGACAGCCTCATGCCGTTGATTATCAGTCTTATTGACGTGGCTGGACGTAGACTCGGACGCATCAAAGTCGTGCAGCTCGGGTAGATCACTGAACATGTCGAAAGCATCTAAATTCACTAATACATCGTCACTCGAGTCAATAAAGTCCATTGGATTGATACCGCCGGCGGGAGATGGCGACGGCGATGGGTGCACCATGTTCGCCGACAAAGTACGCTGAATGTCTTCCTGACTCAAATCTAGTGTTTCCACAAAGTCCGCTACGCCGGGTGGAGGCGGACCTGGACCTACTGACTGGCCACCTGAACAGTCTATACTGTTGTGACTGCTGTGACTGTTGTTACTGTCTTTCGCGTCGATCTCGTGTTGTGGATTCTGTCGCTCCCGTTCGACGGTCGTCTGTTGCTGTTGTATGACGTGTTGTTGCTGTTGTTGTTGCTGTTGATCGCTAACCTGCTGCTGTATGTCTTGTTGTTGATTTGGCTGTTGTTGCTGCTGCTGTGACGTTTGTTGCGATTGGACTTTTTGCTGTTGCTGCTGCTGCTGTTGCTGCTGCTGCTGTTGTTGCTGGTGATGATATGGCTGACTATTGAGAATGAGAAGGCCTCCACCGCCTTGGATCTGTTGTAAACTTAATACTAAGGGGGCCGGCTGCTGGCCCTGAGTCGAATGGGAATGTCTCGAGTAAACTCGCGGAGTCGACGAGGCCGTTGTGTTTGGCTGTTGCCCTCCGGTTGTCGATGAGACCTGCACCGCCACGTCGAATACGAAATAATTGTTTGTTGTCGAAAATTTCCGCAGACTCGATGAGAAATAATACCAACCTGATTGTCAGGAGTAAGTCTCCTAGGCGCAAGCTGTGCAGCGCCAGTTGAGCCAGCATTAGTAGCTCTCTGCCTGTCGAGTAGTTGCGAGACGATCATGTCTACGGGATGTGGATGTGAGTTTGGTTGTGAAGGATGTTGATTCGCCCCGGGCATCGCGTTGTCAGGCTCGTCACCACCGAGAAACATTGGCCTTAGTTGACTCGCTAACTCGTCTCGCGTCCATTCCTTTTTGTCGGGTGGCAACGACAGGCATGGTGGTAGTGCCGCCAACTTCGCGTCGCCATCCGGATATGGCACGTTCAGATAATGCACCAATACAACGTCGGGGTTTTGTAGCAACCAGTAGCAACGACGATGGAACGTTGGCAAGATTGCGGAGTGCACGTAGCAGCCGTAGATGCATTCCACGCCTTGCACCTGCGCACGCATACACGCGACAGAAGATAAACAAGACATTACGGATTATTTAAGGCGACATTTACGATACGACTAAAAATATTCGTTTCGAAAATGAGCGTGCTTTCAGTTTAAAAATCTGAAATGGCAACCAAGACTTCTATTATGCAAAAAATGTGCTCTTTTTGCAGAAAAATGCAATATACTGCATAAGATTTCTTTCTTTTTTTTTTTTATAAAAAAACAATGGAATGAAAGTATTGGCAATATTACCTTGAGTTTCATGTGATCTTCCCTTGTGGTCTTGCCATCCTTGCGCTTTTTCCAACAGTAACCGTCGCGCCGATAGCGAACCTTTTTCCTCGAGTAGAGCAGCATCGAGCCACTTCTTGGCCGCACCTTTACCTCCCGACTTTGCCATTCTGCGTGTCGCTGAAAGCTTATCAATATTGCTGCGATTTCCTGCAACAAACAGGAACACAACATTTTTTATTTTTTGTACAAAAAGCTTTTTCTTTTTCTGATCGAGATTCAACCTAAAGTTTTGCCACATCCTATTCGTGCAAAGTTTATGAGTACAGTTGTAGCCTATAGTAGTCTTGTGGACTGTTAAAGATTCAAAATGTTCGCAGTGTAAACAGAGAACATTGGTCTCGTGCGAAAATTCACTCACTCAGCTCGTTCATCCACATTTCTCACGTTACAAGAAAGCACCTTCCCTCAGGATTTTTTCGTTCCTCATTCATCCTTGAGAATCGCTTGGCTCGAAGCTCTTTCGAGTGGGCCAAAGAAGACGGGACGGAGGAGAAGTCTTCGAAGTATAAGCACGTGGCGAAATTACGATGCTGCTCGCGATCTCCCGACTTCCCCGGCAGGACTACTCGAACAGAACTCGATAGGCATCGACGCCGAATTTTCGAGACGGAAATTTGAATTAGCGCGTCTCAGCAAAAAATCATTCCCCTTTTCTTCGTGAAAATCTATGTTCTTTTTCTTTATTTGTTGATTAATGTTTCAGATCAGATGTACAAAGTCACGGCCAGCAAAACAGGAGAAAGTATACAGTTGGCGTGCAAGTAAAAGTGAAAAATAAATAGGGAAGCCAAAGATAAAAAGAGCCAGAGATATAAAAGAGAATAAAAAATGTATAGCAGTGCAAGAGAGTCAAAAACCGGCTTCGCAAACGAAACGGATAGCCACGTCCAAGATGTATATCGATTGATTGATTTATTCCTCGTACAAAGATTATTTATCCGTTTTTACAGTTCATGACAAATATCAGAGAGCGGCTATATAATGTACTTTCTATTCTTGAACGTTATATAATTATTTTTGCATGAGAGAGAGAGAGAGAGAGAGAGAGCGAGAGAGAGAGAGAGAGACAAAGCACCAGCGGCATGGCCTTTATATTCGAAGCTAATTAAAGGGCTACTTGCTTCCCTTTGACTTGGGTGAGCTTGGACTTAACAAGTCTCTTGTGTCGTTGCTCGTGGATCTAAAGACGAGACGACGACGCGATATTTTCTTTTTTTTTTCCCTTGTTTGTTCAACTGCCTGCTTTATTAGAAAGAAATGTCTTGGTTAACGAATATAAATTGAATCACGAGCTTTTAATCAACACTGCTATAATGCGTTTGGCTTTTAACGAATTGCAACCGTGTCTAAAACATTCGCTGGAAATATTGTTATATAATTGACTTGCGATGCATATATATGTATTTTTCTGTTTACCGAATTTAACGAAATGTATTTATTTTGTTTGTTGTAAAATTTCATTATTTTCACGTCGCTCAACGCGAATTGGAATACCGTGTAGTTTGAAAATTGAGCAGTTCAGACATATTATGACAGTCGCTCAGCCAAGCATGAAAGTGCCACGCGCCGCTGGTGCTGGATTACGTAAATTGAAAAATACAAATTGCGTGTAATAAAAATTCACAATGCACAATTTTTATCGTAATGATAGCAAAAGAAAAAAGATAACATGAGGTTCGATGAAAAAGTGATCAAGGAGAAAGCGTTGAAAAAACAAATGCAAGCCTCGACTGGCAGCTGGAAGGCGCACCTAAGTCACTGCTCCATTTACCTCAGTCGCGAAATTTGGCGGGCGAGCTGCAAATGTCTTTATTCACCTTCCTTTTCTCGCAAATGCGAGAAAGGCTATCGCTCAGTGAGGGATTTTCCCCATTACCGTCACAGGGATTTTCATAAAGTTGCGAGAGTGAGCGACGATTTACGCTCGAGAGGCCTGTCCTTCAAGTTACTTCGCACGCGCAAGCTAAGATATATACCTTCTTCTCTCGGGGATTTAATGTTTTACTGATTTTTCTTTAGCTTCGAAAAAATACGTTCGATTGAAATAAACCTCGAGTAAGTAAGTTGGAGTTGTCTTGCGCAGGAAATATATGCTTTTACGTTTCTTATTGTATTTGTAACGCAGCAGGATGATGGATTCAAATGCTAGACGATTTATACGGATGTTTGCAATGCTTAACCTACATGTGGTTTGAGCGAGAGAAAGGATTTTACGTGAATTGTACAAATGTTTGTTTTATGGATATTTGCAAAGTCTTCACTGTTGGTTGATCTACACCAAGTTCTCAAGTTATTTTGCGTAGTTATCGTGATTAGAATGACGATGATAACTGAACTCTTTTCGCGGGAAAATATATAGAAACAAAATAATACGTTTGTACGAATTGAATTGGCACGAGCTTATTTGCAATACACATAACAGTGTCAGCACACTGTTAAAGGCGTAGTGCAAGTTTTCATATTGCGAAACTAATTATACTTTGACGAAAAATAAGAATCGTATTACTGTAATGAGCCTCATCCTTGAAAATCAGCAGTAGTCGACCTTATTTTCCATGAGATATCGAGCAAAACTTTCGCTTGATATATACATACAAACAGAATTAAAGAACAAAAATAGAGAGAATCCATTCTCTTTCGGTAAATACCTATATTAATTCTCATGAAGACGAAAACGCGCATGAGCTCGTAAAATAATTTGGCCGGATAGAAGAAAAATCCACTTTTTCAAAATGAAAATACAGATTCAATACATCGGCGGGTGGGCTTTTCGCCGCTCCCTATATATACACATATAGAAAGAAGAGAGAGAGAGAAAGAGAAAGAGAGAGGAATTGCACGTGACGTGGGAGAAAAGAGGGTGTCAGCCGCGCGGCTGAGCCCCGAGATTTTTCCATCGACGGCGACAAAATGCATTTCCGGAAACGCTCGATAACGAGGGGGTAAGAGAGAAAAATGCGGCTCTTACAAATTGTTATTCGGCAACGGCGCATCGCTAAAATTACATGGCGCTTGTATTAAATTTCTCTTTTTTCTCTTAACGAGCGGGAAGAGCAAGAGAAGAGTGAAATAGGGCATGAACGGAGGAAATTGGCGAAGAAAGGAATTCACGGGAGCAAAGCAAGCAGAAGCCGACCTTCGGCTTTCTTTATTCCAACAGCCAGTCAAAGCGCAGCCCATCTCTCTAGCTCTTTCTCTCTCACAATTCCACACGGCAACATCTCGGACGTGGCTTGGATGTTAATATCCTACTTTCCGACCTTATACAACACACATAAACATTACTTCGAATAGAACGGACAACCGTGACGCTCAGTTTTCTTTCATAAATTGTTGCTTGACCGGAACACTACCTATCGGGGGACAGTCGTCCGACAAGTGTTTTCCCTTTTTTCTCTATAGTGGATTTTCATTTTGGCGTGGTTGTTTTAGGAATGCGAAAAATAAACATGTCTCCTAAAAAATTGATTGATTGCGTTACTTTTGTAATTCGATCATTAAAGTAAAATGAAATAGACGGATAACGAATATGAATTTTGAATGTGAATTTTCACAAATAATACGAATTTGAGGTAAATTCTTCACTATTACTGTAGATATTACCGAAAATAGTACGGGTAATATCTTTTAATTTACTTGTCAGACCGGCAACTGGAATTGAAGTTCCGAATTTGCCGACAAAATTTTAAAGACTCACTAAAGCCAGTGCGGTAGCTGAAAAGATCTAAAAGTCGAAGGGAAAGTAGATGTTTATCCTATTAACAAGAGTCGAACCTATATATATACCGAAGCCCATTAGGCTGCGAAGTAAAAGGAATACAAGGTGGTGCAGTTATACGAAAGCAATCGAAAAGAGCAGGGTGGATAAAAGAGAGAAACCGAAACATCTATACAATTCGCGTCCGGCGGAACTTTTTCAGGGTCGTCAATCAGGCGCACTCACCCACTCTTTCTACGAATTAAATCGGCTTTGTTGCGGAGGAAAAGATGCCAAGAGAGGAAGTGAAATTAGGAGCAAAAGAGAATCAGACTGGCTCGTTACACTCGCTCCTTAGCTACTTCTTTTTTTACGATCCTCCAGCGCATGCTTCCAAAGCTTCTTTTTTTGGGCTAGTCGAGACGAACAGTTATTAAAGAAACAGAACAATCCCCACCTTCGAGAGCTCGCCGACGATTCAGAACGTGTCCCGGATATAAATATCAAAGGGCGGCGCTGCTACAGTAGTGGTGCACCTCTCGGAGATTCGCGACTAGACTGCCTGACAGTACTCGACTTGTCACGTTGATTTACAACTGGTTAATTGATCGTTTGCATTCTGGACACATTTTACTAAGGGACTTATCGCCACGCTCTCTTGCCATTGCCGCTTTTTCTACGAATGAGTCGCGATATGCCTCATTTATTTTACGAAGTGGCAACACTGCCAACTGCATAAATGTGCCTTCGCACTTCGTCTTCATTTGTCAGTGATTCAAGTTATTTAGATGATTTGGAAACGGAATGTAAAGGCTCTCAAACAATTTTCCAATACGCGTTACTCACTTAAGTTCGAGCCGTTTCTGGTGAGAGTGGCTCAAGACGAAATAGATAGGCACCTACAAATACCTACATGTGGTATTTGCCCCGATAACCCACCGAAATAGTACTCTGGAAAATCATAAAATCAATTATGAGATTTTTTTTAACGTCGAGGCAAAAATATTTTCCCGAATAACCGCATGAACTTTGCAAAGAAACGCGATTAGATCTTTTAGAGCTGGAGCATGAGCTAGTTAAAGCCATATGCACTCGGCTCGTAAAATAGCAAGAGCTCACGAAAGGAGTGAGAAGTTTGAAAGTGCATTCCCTCGATAGGTTAACCGTCGTGAAATATTTAAGAAACCACCACCTCCTCTCCTTCTCTCCTAGCCGCGCGCACGTGGTCATGGCTATTTACACATGCTAATGAACAGCTCAAAGAAGAAAACTTAACGTCGCGAGAGAACTTTTCGCATTATAATCTCGTTTCGGTCCTTTTTGTCTCGCCGCAGCTAGTCGCGACGACGAAGAGATTTGCAAAGAACGCAAGGAAGGCAAAGCTACTTAGCATAACTCGAAGTATGTCGAAGTGAAAGAATTAAATAACGCCGAGTGAGCGGAACGACAT